AGTCGACGGCCTCCACAACCGGCTCAAAATCGAGACCGACGCCGCCTGGACGCGGTTCGCGATGGAAACCGACGTTCTCCATGAGTGGCTTCCAGACGAAACCGACGTTCGTCGTGATCAGCTCTAAACCGACACCATTAACCTCGAGGTGCGGTTCAAATTCCAAACCGACGCCCTCCGCGAGTGGCTCGGAGTCAAAACCGACGCCCTCCATAAATGCCTCGTAGGCGAAGAAGTCATCGCCTTCCATGAGCAGCTCAACATCGCAACCAACCATTTGCGTGAGCTGCTTAAAATCGACCTCCGTGAGATGACCCAAATCAACATCGATGCCCGCGTGAGCGGCTCGTGAGCAAAATTGAAGATCTTGCGGGCCTAATGCGGGCCTAATGCGGGGCGGCTCGGCAGGCTTCGGGGCAATCCTGTTGCCAGCGCAGATTGGGCGGGGGCAATCCTGTTGCCAGCGCAGGATTGGCGGGGGCAATCATCCTGTTGCCAGTGCAGGATTGACGAAGGGGACGTGCTAGTTTCTGACACATGCTTGGCTCGGGGCTTCGATGCCAGGCAGGAACGTGGCGCGGCCGATGCCAGGCCATTGTTGAGTGAATATTGAGGGAATATTGAAGCAATATTGAGTCAATATTCAGTCATCTTGAATCAACATTGAGTCAAGAATGGATCAATATTGACAAGGCCAAGCTTTCTCTTTGGAGGCTATTCCCCAAACGGATTCTATTGCACGGGAGGCTTCTGACACTGGTCCGTCCAGGAAACGACCTTGTCCTGCGAAGGATTCGAAACCTAAAATGCTGCGTGCAGGCGTGTGGCTGCAACAAAACGACCCCTAGATATGCGCCGCAATTTGCCTCCAGGTTGCATTTCAAGCAAGGCCGGGGTTTGTGAAAGGAAACCCCTTTTTCCTTTTGTTTCGGGCCCCCTTTGTTGGGGGACCCCTTTTTTCTTTTTGTTTTGTTTTTTCCTTAGCCCTGCAAAGCTCGGCTTGCTTGAAATGCAACCTGGAGGCAAATTGCAAGCATATCTAGGGGTCGTTTTGTTGCAGCCACACGCCTGCACGCAGCATTTTAGATTTCGAATCCTTCGCAGGACGAGGGTCAGAAGCCTCCCAGGTGCAATAGAATCCGTTTGGGGAATAGCGTGCAAAGAGAGAGTATAATTATTATTTCGTCGCAGTCGGTGAGCATGATTATGGTATATGTATTAATCGTCAACATTAGGACTGTTCTCCGCGGTAGGTTTTTTTCGGAATCTTGTTCTGTTCTTTCTGTGCCTCACGCTCCTGCAGGTAGTTTTAACAGCCCGAATTTGAAGTTTGATGGAGCTGTCCAGGTTTGAGCATCTTCGACATCCTCCTCGCGGCCAATGAAACATCACTACACGGGTCTCCAGGCGTGTGTATTTATCAGCCCTACCAGACGCACTGGTTCCGGGAGCCCCGACATTTCACCTTGTGGTCAGGTCGCTTCAAGGAAGCTGCCAGGAGCGGCCTGCAGCTCATCGTTGGGTTCAAGGCTCGCTTGTGCCAGCCGGCCTTGCCGCCGTGCCAGACTCAGCTTCTCATCGCCGGTTCAGGGCTCAAGCTCGGATTTCGTGTATTTTGGAAGAAGTGTGTCTGGCTTTTCTTGCAGGGTGGGCTCGTGTGCCTGCTGCCGCTGGCTTTGCAGACGTGAGCGCAGCACATTTTGCTTGGCCATTCTGAGTTTTAGTTGCCTTCATCAGTCTTGTCGTCACGTTCATGTCAGCCAGCAAAAACGTCTGTGATGCCTTGACCAACCTCCCGCAAAACTACGTCAACCGCACGGGTTTGTCGACAGAGCTTGCAGAGATGGTCGAGCGCAGCCGGGCCCCGCAGCGAGGTCCGCCTCATCGTGGTGCTCGGCCGCCGCCAGGTGGTTTTGGAGCAGTTTAAAAACGAGAAGAACGTGTACTACCATGACCTCGAGGCGCGCGCGGGCTGGGACCGGAAGCAGGCGTGCGGCCAAAAGCACCTTGGCAAACAGGAGGTGCAGCCACCGGGGCAAGCGGTTTGCCCATGCCAGTTCCCTCAAGCCGGTTCCCGTGTCCCACCCAGAGAGTTTTGAACCGCCCCTTGTCACTGGCAATGGCGTCGACTTGGTAGTGGTTGCTGAGGACAATGACGCCGAGCACCGGTCGTCTGTGAGAGGTGTCATCATACACCATGCCCTTCAAGTCCTCTTGGACTTGCGTGACATCAGCATCCTCGGTCGAAGATGACTGTGATGTTCTGCCGGCTCTTCTTGCCTCAGCCTGACCCGCCTCTTGAACTTGCGGGACAAGTTTGAGTTTCTCTTGGACGATTTGTTCCACATCGTCAGGCCATTCAGCGAGGTGTTCTACTTCGACAGGAAGTGGCGTGCCTTCTTTTTCGTCAGTCCGTACCACCGGGTCGCCTTCCAAGAGCAGACCCAGCACAGCGAGTTGGGGTTGTTTCAGTGGGATGATTTGTTGCCACAAGCCGGGCACAGATGCGGTCGCGGCTCAATTCGCAAACATGTAGCGCCAATGTGCCCTGCGCTGAAAGAAGGTCTCGGTTCGTTGGTTTGTTCCTTTGCAATCGAGTGTATCTGATTGGTTACAAGCTTGCATCCGTTCATGCTCTAGTGTTTTGGCTGGCTAGCACCTGAGCCCCAGTAGAATTTAAAACACCCCAAGAGACCCCAATAGCCAGTTGCAGCTCAGTCGGGTCCGTGTCATTTTGCTGCTGTGGGCACTGGCCTTGAGGAACGCTTTGCTTTTCAGTCCCCGAAGTCTCCCAGAACGCTGGGAGCCGGATGCGGGGGCTTGAGCGTTTGCACTTCATTCGAGCGTTGCTTTGTTTCGTCGCTCCGCGTTTTGATGCTCTGCGTAGGATGGCGAGCGGCTAAGCCAATGACCGCACGGCTGCTGGGTTAGGGCCGGCTAGGGCTGTAGGACAGGCCAAGGTGTTTTCTTTGTTGCCTGCCCGCGCCCTCTCTACCCCAAGATGCCGATGCTCTGGATGCCGTTTTCCGTTTTGATGCTCTGGATGTCAAACGGATGGCACTCATGTAGGGCTCATGCGACACTCACATCGGGCTCATGCGACACTCACGTCGGGCTCATGTTAACTCATGTTAACTCATGTTGCCGTTTTGGCGCTCTGGATGCTCGATGTTTGGGCCGTTTTGGATTTTCAGTTTTTTTGGGGCGTTTTGGTGCTCTGGATGCTCGATTTTGGCGTTTTGGTGTTCTGGATGCTCGATTTTTGGCGTTTTGGAGCTCTGGATGCTCGCTTTTTCGGTCGTTTTGGTGCTCTGCATGCTCGATTCTTGGGCCGTTTTTAGTGCGCTGGATGTTTTCAACCGCATGGCCAATGGATGGCACTCATGTAGGGCTCGTGCGACACTCACTTCGGGCTCACGCGGTACTCATGTTAACTCATACTGCCGTTTTTATGCTCTGGATGTCAAGCCACCTTTTTGCCAAGCAGCAAGACGCCTCAAAACTCCAAAGCAAAGTCTTTGCAAGCGCTTTGGGTGCCCTCTAATTCGAGGGCTTACGGCTTCTAGGCTCCATAATCAATTCTCAGACCTGAGTCGAAACGAGGCCTGTAAACGTTACGAAGGCAGAACCAGACCACCTTCCTGAGAGAAAGCGCGTGGAATCGGTAGCGAAAGGGTAAAATCCACATGGCGGCATTGGCGGCGGCTGAAGTGGGGAGACACTCCGACGGAGTCAAGCTAACTTACGTACATTGGCGGCGGCTGAAGTGGGGCGACTGGGGTCAAGCTGACCGTCATTCTAGTGTAACTGCATGTTGCTGCATCCGAGTGCGGCTTTTGCACTGGTCTGGTGTCGACCGATGTGGCCTTCTTTCTTGACTTCACATGCCATGTGGCCCGAATTTTGGTCCCAGCTGGCTGTTCGTGCTCGCTTACGCAAGGGCTGCGGCCTTGCAGCGTGGCCTGTGCCAACCGAGTGAAAGCCTTCCTCACTCCTCAGCAGGCCAGGCTTGCCGGGCTTCCCAGCACGGCTCCAAGGCGAACACCGGAAGGTCGGGTGTGCTGGGCGCGGCGAAACCAGAATCGTGCGGTCGGGTACGAACCTGTGCCATGCCGCTTGGGGCGGAGTGTGTCAGCAGGGTCTGTTGGCGTCTCACTGGTGAGATAGGGGCTTGATCGCTTGTTTCGCTCGCTGGGTTTGTTGTTTGGGCCCCGCCTGTTCTTTTCGGGGGTTACTTTCTTTTTGTTGGCTTTTGACAGTCTTTTTCTGGCTTGTCGACCAGGATCAGGCTGGCCCGGACAGTCCGTATGTGCGCGGGTAGCGAGGCAAGACAATGAGCCGAGGCGGTGCTGGCTTACCACAGTCTTCAGCCCGCAGTCCGAGGTGGTGCTGTAGCTGGCGAGCTTGAGATATACGGCATCCTCCGGCGTGCTCTTGGTAGCCACTGCAGCACGTCGAAGGTGGACTGGTCCTTGTTCGCCAGGCCATTGGTCGGTGCAAGGGCCGCGGCTGTGGGCGGTGTAGCGCTCAAAGCCCACTTCCACTCCTACAAAACTTACATAAAATCTAAACAAAACCCACACGAAGCAGGACAAAATAGCCACATAACATCCACCCCAAACCCGACAAAGTTCACCCAAAACTCACGCAAAACCCTACAAAGCCCACCCAAAACAAACGCAAAACCCACCCAAACCCACGCAAAACTCATCCAAACCCACACAAAACACCCACAACTACCCAAAAAAACACAAAACCTATCCAAACTCCAGAATTCAACATACAACCCAAAACCCACACAAAACCTCTACAAAACCCACACGAAACAAAACTCACTGGGCCAGCTCAAAGCCCAAAGTCGAAAAAAATATGCTTTGCAGTTTTTCAGCTTTGTGCTGAGGTAATCAACAAATGCCTTCTCTGGATGTGCATGTTACGAACGGTGGTGTTTGTTCGAACTGCTCAGATTTGCATTGTTTTCGCCGCAGCTGCTGCACTTAGCGGTTACACAGCTTTAAATGCAATGCAGAACAGCTGGCCTGCGACATGGCGTCAGATGCTGGTTTTACTGCAGAAGGTGCCTGGATTCTGCATTGAGGTTGTTTGGTGGTTTTGGCGATTTTGGGAAAGTCTTGAGCACGAAATTCCACTGTGGCCGGCACCGTGCAGTTTGCAGAAGTTTGAGTGCATCATCGCCGCATCATGCGCTTTCCTTGCCAGCACCGTTGACTTTGTTCATCAATGTTCGTCAACCTGTGCGTGGTGCCCGAGCTATCTAAGGCACTTTCGATCGAGAGGGTGTGCCACCAGAGGTGGGGATTTGGAATCAGTTCTTTTTTTGGTTTCGCCTGTGCATGTTCTTCCTCGCACATGGGCGTTTGACGTGCCACCAGAACCCATGTAGCCGTTTGTAGGCTACTTTGGCGCAGGACAATAGGTGGAAAGGTGTCAGACACATTTTCATCCAGAACTTGCCAGCGCGAGTCCCGACCGCAGGGCTTGTATTGTTTTGTTGGGTTGACCTTGTGTTTGTGTTTGTTTGTAAGCCTGACGTCGGCGGTGGTGCCGTGGCTGCTTTCATCCTCAGCCGAGGAGTCAGTCAGCAACAATTCCACGAGTTCATTCGGCTTTGCTCTGCCTGGCACCAAGCAGCACAGCGATTCCTGATCATTTCTGTCAACACTTATGATCGTTTGTGTGAGTGTGCGTGTTCTCTTCGGCTCAAAGGATTCTTTTGGTTCCAGGTGTCGCAGACAAAGAAGCTGACTGTGCACGAAGTGTCTGTGCACCTGACTGTGCCTGATGTGGCAGGCGCCTGAACCTGAACAGCTGAAGTTTCCGGTGTGACCTTGATTGAACAAGAGAGAAAGAGAGAGAGAGAGAGAGAGAGAGCGAGAGAGAGAGCGAGAGACAGCAGGTTAGGCAGCTTGTGTTTAGCACGTATTTTAGAAGTTACCAACCAGGAAGCGTGTTTTGTTTGAATGATTCTGCCAATTCCCCATGATGAGCACAGACGAGCCTGATTCAGCATCTACGCAGTTTTTCCCTGTTGTCAGCTGTTCATACGGCTTGTTTCCATCATGGTTGCGCTTCCACAACATTGTGTGATTTCTTCTATGCGATGTGTCAAAACAATCCGGATGCTTGTGGGGCAGTTTAGGCTGGTGCCTGGCAAAAGCCAAGGTATGCGAATGGCAAGTCTCGTGGGTATGCTGTAGCTTCATTCCGGGACTGCGCCTGAGCCTTAGTTTTGCTAGACATGATAGTTTCTTTGTAAGGGTGGAAGTACATACCCCTTGTTCATACCCCTTGTTCATATCCCTTGGCTTCCCTGGTTTCCAACCCACTTTTTATGGGTAAAAACCCTTTTGGGAAGAGGGGTATGTTGCCTTCATTTGCGCAAGGGGTACGCCAACGGGGTATGTACAACCACCCCTCGATTCTACAGCTACAGAAGTTTCGGCAGTTGACAATAATAGATCAAGAGGGAGGGCTTCGCTTTTCTTGCGGGACTTAGCTATTTTCATCGTCAGCGACAGGTGCAGCATGTTCTACTATTTTGTATTCAATTTTGGCCAGTTTGCAGAACACTGCTGCATTTGTATGTTTTGCCCAAGGGAAACTCGATCAGTTTGGATTCCTGTCCTTGCTTGGAATCCTTCTGAAAAGCAGCACCTTGGGCACTGGCTCTGCACTTCTAGCACAGAAGCTTTTGCTGACTCACTTACACACTCAAAGCAGAGCGCATGCTACATAGCAATTTGGCTTGGCAGAAACAGTTTGTTGCATCCCGAGTCTTGTTCGGATTGAAGGGGACACTCTTCTTTGGGGGCAATATTCGACATGGTGCTTTCTTTGTGTTTGTACAGCGCCACTATCCAAGTGTTTGGAGGCCTTTTAGGAGTGGACATAGAATGCAGACCGATTTGCAGGGCACACTACATGACCATCACTTCCTGTTTCTTTGTGGCTCCATGGGTCTTCATCCGTGCCGTGCCGCATGTGCGGATGCTTTTTGTGTCGAGTCTTTCAAAGCCGCGCTCGCTCGACCGGGCCGCTTCAGCGCGGCGGCTCCGCTAGGCCTCGGCCGGCGCCTTCGTGGCTGCAACGTGGCAACAGCGGGTGCCAGGCTTTCAAAAGCCAGAGCGCCCCGGCATATGACGTACTGAGGCAGTCGCTCGTAGTGTTGTTTAGTTTTGTTTAGTTTTGTTTAGTTTTGTTTAGTTTTGTTTAGTTTTGTTTAGTTTTGTTTAGTTTTGCTTGCTTGCTTGCTTGCTTGTCTTGTGTGTCTTGTGTGTCTTGTTTGTGTGTTTGCTTGCTTGGTTGCTTGGTTGTTTTTGTGTATTTGTCTGTGTGTGTGTGCCTGGTTCTGTATGTCAGCCCTCCTTTGGTCGTAGAGCGAACCCATCCAATGAGACCCCAAATGTCACACGAATCCCCAAAAAGACAAATTTGCATGGCTCATGCTGTTGCAGCCGGCCTGGAAATTTGTCACGCGTGATCACTCGTGGCTTTTAATTGAAGGATGAACTAGACTCGTGACATGGAGCGCATTGGTGTTGGGGCTAAATCCTTAAAAGGAGAATGTGCAACTTGCATCATTCACTGTGTAGATCTGCGGGAGTTGAGCATGCATTCGTTATATTTTTATATATACTGTGGTGATGGGGTTAAGGCAGACCTGGCAGAAGTTCTTTCAGTGCGCGCTGAGGCCAATTGCTTGCCAACCTTGCGTTGCTCGCTCACGGGGCTTGAGCTACTTGGATGTGAGAAGGTGGTTTGGAACTGTTGTCCGCAGCTATTCAAACATCAATGCTGCTCTGCAAACCCTGAACGTTCAACGAACCAAACCAGCAAACCAAGCCACCCAGCCACCAATCCACCAAGCCACCAAGCCACCAAGCCACCAAGCCACCAAGCCACCAAGCCACCAAGCCACCAAGCCACCAAGCCACCAAGCCACCAAGCCACTAAGCCACCAAGCCACCAAGCCACCAAGCCACCAAGCCACCAAGCCACCAAGCCACCAAGCCACCAAGCCACCAAGCCACCAAGCCACCAAGCCACGAAACCAGCCAGTCACCAAGCCACTGCGTCACAATCGTCCCATCTGGAATCGTCAACATCGGAGCAGTCGCACTGCAGACCCTCAATGCGTTTTCAACGATAAACCTGTGTTGCGCTCTGAGGACGAAGAATGATTGGTGGGAAAGCCAGCCCTTTGTTTGACCCTGGGCCGTCCAGCGTGTCCCACTTCAGAGCCTTGGCCGTGCAGGTGCAGGTTTCGCACTTGGTAAACAAATGTGACTCGTGAGGTTTAGGGACATGGCCCAATCCATGAACGAAGCGGACCGGCCAACTGAAATTTTGGGGACTGTTGCCAGTGGGTGTGATTATTTGATCGTTTGCAATGATCCACGTGCCAGGATGCCTACGCGAAGCATTCTCTGTCCCTCCCGGCGTCTCCCTAATCCGATGTTTTCAGATGGCGGGCAATTGCAACTCGCTGGCTTTTCCTGCTGCATCATGCATCCTTCAAGACTCGTTTGAACAAAAGTCCGGGTTTGAATCTCCATATGACAGATATCGGGCCGTGCTTTTTTTTGGCTCTTTGCGCATGGATCACCGGCACGGTGGGTGAGCCGCATATTGCAAGTATTATCATGCCGCATGTGTTTCCTCCGTTTTCCTTTGTGGACCAAGATGCTTGGCGAAGCAACGTGATCCCTTGAGAGTTACAGCAGCAAGTGAGATCGCTAGTTTTCGTGCTCCAATCCGATCGCATCTTGCCATCTTGCCCAGGAAACAAAATGCCTTCGGACTACCAGTCTGGCTATGATGATGCACCCACAGTCACCTCCATGTCCAGTGACCCGCCCTTCACCTACACAGAGGCACATGCGAGCGATTGGCTGGACGGAGAGGTTCCTGCGAGCCTTCCAACTCCGAGGTTTTTGAGAACTCGTGTGGATTTGTGAGTTTTCAAAGTGCTAACCATAGCCTGAAGGTAAACGCCGCGCCAACATCCGCGAGTGATTTGGTCATGCCCGTTTCCATGGCTTCCACTCACCGAAGGCCTCCGAAGCTCACAAGCACTGTCATGACATGTGCTTGCTCACAATTGTGAGGGGGGCCTTCAGTCTTGCGGTGGGTCCACAACCTTTGTCCACCCATTTTTTCGAGCATAGTTGAGATCCACTTTAAGCGTACCGAGCAAGTCTCCGTGTACGTGAAACTGTACTTTCGTACAGGCTTTGCAGCCTCGTTTGCGTGAAACTGATGAGTTTCGGTGCTGTGTATGCACTTCCCCTGAAGTGGGGCGTCCTGGCCTCTGTCCGGAAGCTTGCAAAAGCTGAGCTTTGGTTTTGGCCTCTCTGCTTCCCATCGGTTTATATGAGCCGGAAGGGCACTGCATACCAAGCTAGCAGTACCAAGGAATGGAGTTGCTGGCTGGCTGTTGGCGGGTGACCGTTTACGGCTCAATCTAAACATTATGAGCAGTGTTTTGAACCAGCTTGCACAATATGAGATGGGCAAAAAGAATGGTTCAGCCGCTTGGCTTTCAAATAGGTCCAGGGTCTGATGGTCGGGCACGTCTGCTCTTGCGTGAGTCGTCATTTCAATGGCTTGTGACACGCCTTTGCCGAGACTGGAGGGCGTGAAGCTGTTAAGCTATTGGGCTTGATCCAAGCCACCGAAGCTATGAGCTGTCAGTCTCCAGAGCTGAGATTGCGAAGCTGCGCATGTCACTCAAGTACAGTCTTTCAAACTTGTTGTGAATCTCAGATTGCAAGCTTGCAACCTGGTGGATGCAATGAGAAGTTTGTACCCAGTGCAGTTACTCTCACATGGGAATACTACGATTCAAGGATTGTTTGTGCAGTGGCCTTGTGTTCATTAGCAAGCTTGCCTCAAAGGCCTTATAGTGCAAACAGCGAACAGCGTTGCACACAAGCACATAGAGTCCCGTGGCCCAACCTTTGGGCTCTTTGCCTCGCTTCGGGACCTTGCGGCGACATTCCAACAGGTACAAAAACCGAGCCAGTTGCACGGAGCCGACCTTCACGAGGGGCGGGATGAGTACTCTAGGTTGAGATGCAAAGGCCACTTGTGACCTTGGAAATGTAGCGCAGGTTCAGGTCCATGCTAGCTCCCTTGTCCAGTATGGCTTGTAGTTGGGCATGACAATATGGGGACGTTGCTGCTGCTCTTCGGCTTGAAACGGCTCGAAAGCACCTTCAATGCTGCTTCATGCTGATTGCAAGGCAATCTGCCACTTAAGCTGAACATGAGCAAAGGCATTTGATCCCAAGCGTTGAAGCTTTCGGAAGCATTCACCAAATTTGGACGACACCATTTGCAGAACAGAGGGGCAGGGACCGGTGGTTCGGCCCCTGTCTGGCTGGGTCCCATGGCATGGTGTTGCTTCTGCGGGCGCCGCTGTCCCGCCTGCCTCGCTGGGCCTGGATTGCGCGGCGGCACTTGCACAAGGGCTATGCACCGCGGCAGACAGAGACGGCTTCGGGTCGATTTCGTGCCCATCAAAGAACTACTTCATATTTGTACATCGCCAACAGGGGATGTGATTTTCCCATGTCCTTATCGTGAAGGGATGTGAGTGAATTCCTTGAGCCCAGCACTTTGAGATTTGGCCCGCTTCGTGTCAGGTGGGTACTACCTTGGAGAAGCTGAGCCTGCCACGGCACCACTGGCTCAAAGAAGTGGAGCAGGCCCCGGAGAAGTCGACGGTGCGGAGGACCGAGTCGACGGTTTTCGGGTTTCGCTCGGCTTGCCATTTCACCCCGTCTGGTCGTGCCATGGATCTCGTTGAGCCGAGAGGATGAAGGACCGCTACCTCAGAGAACTGGGGTCCGTGCACCAAGAGCTGTCTGGGCTCTTTCGCGGCTTGGCAAGTTTGGGCAACAGCCTCTGACTGGATGAACCGAAGTTTGGTCCGCGCTGGACATTCCAAGGCGATGAAAAGAAGGCGCGTGGCGCGATTGAAGAGCACTCTGAAGCAGAAAGACAAAAGCTGTCGAGCATGCATGAGCAACGGGAGCTAAAGAACGAGGCGGGGGGATGGAAGGGCAGGGGCTACTTGGCCACCTGAACACCCTTTCCAAGTGGCAGAGTGCTTCAGCACTCCCAATACACAGCTTGCAGCTCCATTGAGTCATATCATGAGCCAGCAAGTTCAAGCCACCGCTTCATTCTTTTTGAAAGCCCAATAGCTGATCACCAAGCATTTAGGATCATTGCTCACCCCAAAAGTTCCAAATGAACCCTAGATGGGGCAGATTCAGCACGATCAACCTATACGACAGACCCGACTAGTTCGAGCGAATGAAAGCGGGCTCCAGGTCCCAGGCGTTGGATCCGTCATGTTTTGCGAGTCGGGGAGCCGCGAGATGTGCAGGCACTACGGGTCTACCGCCTGCTGCGGCCGGATGCGCCACCCTTCTTTGAGGAGGATGCTATGCTCAGCATGAAGGCTCATGACTCAAAGCATTTCTGAAATGACAATGGTCTTCAACGCTTGTTTTTCATGAACCTTGATTTGGGCTTGTGGGTCAATTTGGTGTTGTCATGTTTTGTGCACAAGCATGGTATCCGTGACAGTAAAACTAGCAAAGAGGCGCAAAGGTCTTTGTTTCCCGGTGGCTCATCGCAGGCAAAGATGAACCGAATTGCAAAGGATGAGGCGTGGTTGCTTTGCTTGGTTGCAGGAGAATGAGTCACCCATCCGTGGGCTGTCCGGGGTGGTTTGTGGATGCTTCTGTCTCTGGCTAAAGTTGCGAAACGGCCGACGAGAGATTTCGGCCCCAAGAGCGAGCAACTTGAAAGGCGCCACTTGCAGGCACCCTTGTCCATCGAGCCAGGATGACCAGGCTGGCATAGTGAAGGCCGAGAAGTTTGGGGACCCATTCAAGGCGTATTTGCCGGTGGTGAATCAGAAGGCCTGGCAGAACCTGCGTTTCCAGCTCCAAAAAGTAGCTTGCTTCGTGTTTTTGAAGGGGTTGTCCATGCTGCCAAGCTTGAGTTGCCGTAGATGCCATGCGCTCTGCCTGTCTCAGGCCTTCCTGCTGGCGTTGGAGTCCGTGACGGCTTCCTTGGCACAGGACTCCAGTTTCATACCTCCTCAAAGCCGACCCGTTTTTTGCCGGGGGGGGGGGTGTCATTTTTTCGCCCTTGAAAGCAAGCCCAAGAGGGCACCCTGAAACATGTCACACCCAAGCTTGGTTTCAATATTGATGGAAAGCGAGACGAGCTTGATTCATGACTTGCTCGCTCGTGTACTCGAAGGACCTGGAGACGCTGTGCGTTCTAGCCAACCCAGATGAACAGCTGCCAGACGCGGATGATCCGCTTCGCTCGGAGCTTATTGAGATGCAAGGAAGTGTGCCTTGCTCTTTCGGGTGTACTGCTTTGGCGCACGTGAGGCTTCAAGAAACTGGTGGACATCCTTTTCGGCATCTTCCAACTTGAGAAAGATCCTGGCAAGGTGACTTGGACTAGATTCTAGACTAGATGTGAACACCGTTTCGAGAGTCTGCGAAGCTGCAAGCTTCGTACAAGGTGGACAACTGAAAAAAACCAATTTGGACAACAGATGGCAAGATCTGGAAACATGCACTGGCAAGCTTGCAAGTGGGTGGGACTATTGGGTTGGTCGAGACAGTTCAGTGTTTTGGCACTAGAAAGCAGGCACGGTGGGGTCGGGTTGGTGGAAGGGGCATGGGACTGTCAGGGTGAATGGAATGGTTGGTCGAGACGGTTGGGGATGCTTGGGGACGGGCTCGGGGATGGTTGGGATTGTCAGCCTACGGTCGGGAGGTTAGTCCTGGTTGGGATTGTCTGGATGAGATGGTTGGGTCGGGATGATTGGGATGGGGATGGAGACTGTCAGGACCATCAAGATGGTGGGCAGGTCCGAAGAGGTGTGAGTTTGCCGAGCTTCGACTGGCTGCGACAGTTGGGATGATTGAGAGGGTTGATAAGGTCGAGGTGCTGGTGAGACGGTCACGATGAATGTCGGCTTTGTCGGGTATTGGAAACGTGGGGGCCAGGATGGTTGAAATGCTCTGGAGGGTTTGGCTGAGAGAATTGCGCTAGAGGTCTCCCTTGTGGTTGTTGTCCATGTGTTTGTCGGCCTGCACTCACATTGAGCCGAATCGCAGCATACGGGCCGAGTGCATTGGTGGAGTTTCAACCAATGGATTGCGGTTCCCTACGTGGTGACAGACACATTTTTTGATAGTTGTAGATTCCTTTTTTGCTTTTGACACTCACAGTACTTCACCTGATCGAACAGGATAACAGTTGAGAGAGCGGGACAGAGAGTATTTTGGGTATCGACCTTTTCCGTTGACTGCCTCGATTCCCGGAAAAATTAGCTGTCAAAGTCGGACGCCCTAGATCGCCTTGCAAGTACATGAGGTCGAGCTTTGCGGCAACAGGGCATTTGCTTTTAGACAATCAAGCATGCTTCGATCCAAGCCCCGCTTTGACCACAAACTCGACCCACAAAGATGTAACTCGCAGCTTTCACGGGTTTTGAGTTGGCAAAACCAATTTGGACAAAGTGCGAGTTTCAGAAGGTTGATCTCTGATTCTGCTTGCCTTCGCTCAATCATAACTTGACAATTGCAAATGTCTGCGTGTTTTGTGCTTGGCAGCACATTGTGCACACTACACACATAATACCCTCTCCGCTTTGCTTCGGCATGCGCATCATCCCATGGGGTTTTGGTTGTGCTTGTTGTTTCCGAGTGCTGCTGCCAAGACTGCTTGAGGGCTTTCCATTGATATATTTGCGCAGGCCAGTTGATTAGCCACGTTGCCTTGCAAGAGCAGCAATGCAAGACGGCTTGACAGCAGTCGATAGGCCAGATTGCAGATGCACTTTTGGTCGATGACAAGGTCTTCAGAAGCTCATACTGCTGATCATGTTCATTGGTATTGTTTTACAAGTTTTGGCACACGATTTAGTTTTTGTGTGGTGGTATGCCAGCGAGGGCTGCTCTGCTCCCCCGTGGCCTCACGGAGAAGGTTTGTGGTTGCGCTGAGGTGGACGCCTTCATGGACCGCAACTGGGCAATGCTGCAGCACTTGCTGCCCGAGGAGATTGTCCACATGGATCCCAGTGGAGCGCATCTTGGAAGTTGGGTCGGCGCGTTTCAGGAGTTTCAAGGCTCTGTCGTAATAAATGACGTGGCGTTGAGGCTGCGTTTTCATTGAGGCAGGCAGATACCATACACCCACACTACCAGGTCCTTCCATTTTGAGCAGAATTTGCGGCTCATTATGCTGTGCTATGCCATGATATGATGCTGTATGCAGACGGAAGATGTGTTTGTTATCGCTACATGTGTCAGTGATGTGGCAGTCGATCATTGTATGGCATGGATGACTTGACTTTTTGCACCGCAGGGATTTGCCTCATTGTATCGAAGAGAAGAAAGCAATCTTTCCCTGAAGTCGCGGGATAGATTGCCCAGTCTGTGCAACACGGATTGATGGGACACTTTTGTGATTCGGAGACCCAGCAGGACAGAAGGGACAAAAGCTGTCGGAGGGAGGCCTTTGTTGTCACCAGTGGTTGACTTTCCCTACACGTAGAGTCCAGCAGGGCACCGGAAGGAGTCATCCATCGGAGCTACAAACAAATTTTCCAGATGAGCCTTTTGGTCACTAGCCACTTTGTGTAAAGGCAATATGCTGTCATTTTGGGCTGGAGAATGAGAGAGAGATGAGAGGTCTTGTCTTGTGCAGTGCGGTGCTAGGGGAGGGCCACAGTCAGCAGATTTGGAGCTGGCAGGAATTCTGTGGAGCCTCCTTTGATTCTGACAGAAGAGCCCTTCCGGCAAGTGAGCCTTTAACAGGCTTGACAGCCTTGCAGGCAAGAATTGCATCTAGAACCCTCGCAGCTTTTGAGTGCCAATGAGTTTTTTTTTTTTTTTTTTTTTTTTTTTTTTTTAATTTCCAACAGTTCTCCCAATGCGCCCAGGTTCTCAAGTCCAAAACAGATTGGCAGTGATACGTCGATTTGTGATAGATAATATCTTCAAAATGGTGGATGGAGCCTCCTAGGAGCCAACGGAATGTAGCTGCTTTGTGAAGCAAGAGGCCGAAAGAAGTGTTTCTTTGTCTGTCCGATTTTTTGGGGGACATGATTCACGGCCTCCCTCTTTTCTCTGACTGCACCCCAAGAGTCGAATGGGATGCAAAAGGTTGCGAGCGCTTCGGCTACCAAGGCATGTGGCGCGGTGGCTGAAGGGCCATTTGGAGAGCTTTGGCTACCAACTGGCGCCTGTTTGGGCCAAAAGCCCATTGTCCAATGATCCAGATTCCCGGTTGAGTCCCCCTGGTGGTCAATTCGCCCCCCCCAATTGTCACCATTTGTCACCGGTCATTCTTTGTGCTTTCAGTGGCTTCGTTGTGGCTCTGAATCAGTCTATGACTCCCATGTCACGGGTTGTCCGCTCCGACGCCCCAATCGGGATGTGCCAATCGTGCAAGGCGCGTGATCCTGAACCAGCAGCGGTATGAGGAAGCGGATCAAAAGAAGCTGGGCGGCAATGGCAAAGTTGAGGTGTGTTATTAAAGTCTAGTGAGATTCCAGACTCTGGCTTCTGTTGGTCGATTTCTAAAAATGTCTTGTACGCGCTGACCAGGACCTTCTAACACTTGTCTGGGGGGCCATGACTTTCTTATTGGTTCTCACTGGCAGTCAGGATATTTCTTCACAAGAACCAGAGCCAAGAGGCAATGTACAATTTCGCAGAGGCGCGCACTGGGGGCACATGGATGAATGTATTGCCTCATCATGCCATCCTGCATGCTCAGCGCTGTCTCTTACTTCTGACAAACGTGTGCAGCCACTGCTTCTTGTGAAGAGCAAATGACATGAGAGACACCGGCTGGACCCGAAGACCTTTTCCTATGTCATATGGCTAGGCTCCCATTTTGTGAATGTCTTGAATCTCATGACGGTGCAGTGCAATTTCTCTTATGGCAATGGCCAGAGTTCCAGACCAAGGCTATTCCTTGTGGAGTTCCAGTCGCCTTGAAGATTTCCAGACTTCTGCTCCGGCAGGACTTTGCCTATGACGACGATCCAATGCCTGGTTTCTTGGCTGATGAGCGGAACTTGGACTTCCCTCTCGAGAAGGTGCGGCTCCGACTCAGAGCCACAAAGGCAGTCCCAGCCAGAAATAGTTGCGGCCTTCTTAATTCTTTGCATGGTTCTGGGTAGACCATTTCAATACCGGGTTTTGATTGTGGCTCAGCTTGCGAGTGGCGATGCCTGTTCTGTTGCTCCAGGCGAAGGAGTACATGCAGCTTTTCTTGAACATGCTATCGAGCAGTGCCCGCGCTCGCGATGTCAGCGACAACATCGCGCCTGGGGCTTTTGCCGCGAAGGAGGAGACTCCGTCGGAATGTTGGGAAGCCGTTGGGTGCATCTCACGACCATTAGCAGTTCTTTCGTGAACCTAGCTGATGCTGACGGCTTCATTGGCCTTGCTGTTTCTGGGTTTGTCGTCAGCCAGTCTGGGGATTGCACATTTGTCACTGTCAGAAGGATGCTGAGACGGTGGCCGAGCAGTTCCAGGACACCTTTGGGTACAAGCTTACAGCGTTGAGAGCATGCAGATGTGGTCAATGCCGGTATATCACAGAAACAGTGATCACCTTTTTTGTCGAACGACGCCTGTGCGGATGGAACAAGAGCCACTGTGGGGGCCAAGCAACAAGCAAAGAAGATGCTTTTACGGAACTGATGTCATTCACCACTGACATGTTCGTATGGTTCAGAGTTTATGGAACAAAGCGGGCAACATGGCAGGACTTTGTGTGGGACCTTGAGGACATTGGCTTGCGTGCACCGCCCAGCCTGTGAGTTTGCTTCGAATTCAAAAAAAACACATCATCCACATTGATATGCATGAAACTGCTTGCCCGTGGCTTTGGAATGTACCCGTTGCATATGTTCATTGCCCCGGGTCGAAGATTCCTGCAAGGCAACTGGCTGAAGATGGACCTGCGGGAGCTGGAAAGCCATCTTCCCAAAGACGTGCTGGCCCCTTTGGTTTACGGGCAGGAGACTCTTGGCGACCTGCTACGCTTCAACTACCGTACTATTCCGCGTGCTGAGCCTGCAATCTAACCTCCGGCCAACTGGTGTCAAAGTGCTGCAGTCATTGCAGCCCCCATAAGTTTCGGCTTTCGGTGAAACGCTGCTCAACAAGAGAAAAAGGCACAGCCGCAAGCGGGCTGACCATGAGTGAGTCGCAAGCCCCAGAAGCTTGGCCAATGGGATCTCATCCTCCCCGTGCGCTTCAGCATGCGCTCCATAGCGCCGCAGCTCGGCGCCTGATGGCCCGATGATCCCGCAAGGGGCAAACGCCTGAATCGCAATAACGATGCAAGGACAGAAGGCAGCACAACAAGCTGGCAAGCGACGGTAGGAACAACCGCGACGAGCAAGAGGCACATCGGAATCCGGAAGTTTCTCATGTATGCAGCATGCTTCTGAGCTACAACCAGTCTGTGCGAGTTTGTTTTGAAGTTCAGAAGAACATGTACATATTTGATACGAAGGTGATGCAACGGTCTGGTTGCCAGGCCAGTTGCACGGGTTTCGTGCTAGGAAATGATGGTGCGCTCATGGCTTGTGCGGCGGGGTTTCAGGGCATGACATCAGCTCCTCTCGCACTTCTGGTGTCCAGTGTCCAGGCCCGCCCACCTACGCTCAGGCAGGCAGGCAGGCAGGCAGGCAGGCAGGCAGGCAGGCAGGCAGGCAGGCAGGCAGGCAGGCAGGCAGGCAGGCAGGCAGGCAGGCAGGCAGGCAGGCAGGCAGGCAGGCAGGCAGGCAGGCAGGCAGGCAGGCAGGCAGGCAGGCAGGCAGGCAGGCAGGCAGGCAGGCAGGCAGGCAGGCAGGCAGGCAGGCAGGCAGGCAGGCAGGCAGGCAGGCAGGCAGGCAGGCAGGCAGGCAGGCAGGCAGGCAGGCAGGCAGGCAGGCAGGCAGGCAGGCAGGCAGGCAGGCAGGCAGGCAGGCAGGCAGGCAGGCAGGCAGGCAGGCAGGCAGGCAGGCAGGCAGGCAGGCAGGCAGGCAGGCAGGCAGGCAGGCAGGCAGGCAGGCAGGCAGGCAGGCAGGCAGGCAGGCAGGCAGGCAGGCAGGCAGGCAGGCAGGCAGGCAGGCAGGCAGGCAGGCAGGCAGGCAGGCAGGCAGGCAGGCAGGCAGGCAGGCAGGCAGGCAGGCAGGCAGGCAGGCAGGCAGGCAGGCAGGCAGGCAGGCAGGCAGGCAGGCAGGCAGGCAGGCAGGCAGGCAGGCAGGCAGGCAGGCAGGCAGGCAGGCAGGCAGGCAGGCAGGCAGGCAGGCAGGCAGGCAGGCAGGCAGGCAGGCAGGCAGGCAGGCAGGCAGGCAGGCAGGCAGGCAGGCAGGCAGGCAGGCAGGCAGGCAGGCAGGCAGGCAGGCAGGCAGGCAGGCAGGCAGGCAGGCAGGCAGGCAGGCAGGCAGGCAGGCAGGCAGGCAGGCAGGCAGGCAGGCAGGCAGGCAGGCAGGCAGGCAGGCAGGGCAGGCAGGCAGGCAGGCAGGCAGGCAGGCAGGCAGGCAGGCAGGCAGGCAGGCAGGCAGGCAGGCAGGCAGGCAGGCAGGCAGGCAGGCAGGCAGGCAGGCAGGCAGGCAGGCAGGCAGGCAGGCAGGCAGGCAGGCAGGCAGGCAGGCAGGCAGGCAGGCAGGCAGGCAGGCAGGCAGGCAGGCAGGCAGGCAGGCAGGCAGGCAGGCAGGCAGGCAGGCAGGCAGGCAGGCAGGCAGGCAGGCAGGCAGGCAGGCAGGCAGGCAGGCAGGCAGGCAGGCAGGCAGGCAGGCAGGCAGGCAGGCAGGCAGGCAGGCAGGCAGGCAGGCAGGCAGGCAGGCAGGCAGGCAGGCAGGCAGGCAGGCAGGCAGGCAGGCAGGCAGGCAGGCAGGCAGGCAGGCAGGCAGGCAGGCAGGCAGGCAGGCAGGCAGGCAGGCAGGCAGGCAGGCAGGCAGGCAGGCAGGCAGGCAGGCAGGCAGGCAGGCAGGCAGGCAGGCAGGCAGGCAGGCAGGCAGGCAGGCAGGCAGGCAGGCAGGCAGGCAGGCAGGCAGGCAGGCAGGCAGGCAGGCAGGCAGGCAGGCAGGCAGGCAGGCAGGCAGGCAGGCAGGCAGGCAGGCAGGCAGGCAGGCAGGCAGGCAGGCAGGCAGGCAGGCAGGCAGGCAGGCAGGCAGGCAGGCAGGCAGGCAGGCAGGCAGGCAGGCAGGCAGGCAGGCAGGCAGGCAGGCAGGCAGGCAGGCAGGCAGGCAGGCAGGCAGGCAGGCAGGCAGGCAGGCAGGCAGGCAGGCAGGCAGGCAGGCAGGCAGGCAGGCAGGCAGGCAGGCAGGCAGGCAGGCAGGCAGGCAGGCAGGCAGGCAGGCAGGCAGGCAGGCAGGCAGGCAGGCAGGCAGGCAGGCAGGCAGGCAGGCAGGCAGGCAGGCAGGCAGGCAGGCAGGCAGGCAGGCAGGCAGGCGTGCGTCGTGCACGTACACACTTGGGCGCGAGTCAAGTTCGAGAGACACAAGCTCGAGTGGGGCAAATGTAGAGTCTGGGTCGGGTATGATTGAGTGGTTTCCAGGGTGGAAAAACATCTAAATTTAAGAGGGGCGAAGCGCGCATAGCCTTGCGGGGAACCAAGCAATGCAGTAGCATGTCATTGTGCAAGTACGTCCCAACCAATATCCTCACCGCGATTGGGCCTCATATTTGAACAGCGATTGCCATTCTAGTGACATGTTCTCGAACTTGTTTAATGGCTTTGTGAGCCGAGGACAGAAGAATCAGATGCTCTCAGCCTTACCAAAGATGACGCAGCTCAGCTCATTCAGCTCTCAGCTTTGTCGCTGTTCAGACGGCTGGGTATCTTGTGCTCTCCCGGTGACTTTATTTTTCAGAATCCTGTGAGCAGTCTCGATGCAATGTCTCTGCGCAATTTCTGAATGACATTTCTCTGTGCACTCTCTCTGCGGAATCTCTCTGCTTAATGTCTGTGTGACGTTCCATTTCTGTGTCCGTTCTCTCTGCAACAGCGGACAATACATTGTCTTTGTGACATCTCTAGCCAGCAATCTCTTGGTGATGAGCCTCTGTGACATCATTCATCACAATCTCTATGCTTTTCTGCGTAATCCCTTTCCGACGTTCCTAAGCAATCTCTTGGCGCGGTTACCTTCCGAGGCAGTGGGACTGGAAGAAGACTGCGCTGTGCTTTTGGGAAAAGACATCCTTGTTGCCCACCCTGAACCAAACCGGAGCTGAGGTAGAGGTAGCCAAGCTGATGCTGAAATGCGCTGCGCGGGGCAAGGCGGACCTCCTGGACTTTGAGGCCGGGAGACATCTTTTTTGTGTTCCCGTGGAAGACGAGAGAAAACATGGGAGCTTCTGTTTGCCTCCACCTTTTTTCGTCTGCAATGCAACAGCATCCTACGCTTCTTGATGAGCGAAAGCGGAGTGTTGCCTCCCAAGGCCTCATGCACTTCACCCTGTCTGCACTCAGGCAGTAGATCCATACAAGCTGCTGCACGGCGTGCCGGCTCGAGCGGTGGATGAGGAGTTGCAGAGCCTGCCGGTGCACCCCGTCCTTGGTGGCTCGGCTCACTGTGTGATCAGAACCTTTCCTTGTGCCGTTGAAAGACTCGTTGTTCTATCAGTGCGATGGCACATGGAAGAGCATGATGTTTATGCTTGGCATGTCGGACCCTATCACTCTTGGCTGTGTGCTCTAAGTTTCAACAAACAGTTGTGGGTTGCTCTGATCCATGTTCATGCCGATATGGCAGAGCGAATCGGGGGGGGGGGGGTTGGTGGCCTGGGGACTGGAACCAAAAATACATTTTTTTTTACATACTACAGGACTTATAGGACTATATGTGAATGTATGCGCGTGTTGCAAAGAACATTGCTCGCACTTGACCAACTGAAGGACTTGGCTATCAGTCTTTCTGTGCTCTCAGGGACTCCTTGGAGCGAACGGTGATGCCTGCGCATGGGCTGACATGAATAGACGGCAGCGTTGGCTTTCGCTTGACAGCCGGCCCAGATGACCATGGCCTGGAGCGCTTGGTCTCCGATCATTGTCAAAGCTTGGGAAGGCTCGGTTGGCGAAAGGAAGTGCTGTCATCATGAAGTACATTTGGACATGTTCATGTGTGCATTGAATCAATGCCCTAGGGGGTGCAACGTGCCATGGGCATTGGATGGATGTGACCCTCGAATTGGTGTGACTGCGGATTCAGTTTGCATGTGGGTATGGGTCAAAATTAAACCGCCAGGAATTGGACCACAGGTTTTTAGTGCTTTCCATGTGCCAGGGTTCTAGTTTGGGCCTTTTGGGTACCCATTTTTGACCATCCATGTGACCGAAGGCCACCGAAGGACTGGGAGCAGAGCCAGGAGGATTGGCTCAGCGGGAGCGCCACCGTTTCGGAGATCTACCAGAAGGCGTCTGGGAAAAGCAATGTTCGATTCGATTCCTCTTTTCCCGAAAGCATGGCGAAAGATTCTTCCGTTGGATTCATGGGAGTCATTGCAAAGAGTTATCATCATTGCACAGAGTTATCATCATCACAGTCATTGCACAGAGTCATCATCAGCATGAGAGTCATTGCAAAGAGTTATCATCATCAGAGTCATTGCACAGAGTCATCATCATCATGAGAGTCATTGCAAAGAGTTATCATCATCAGAGTCATTGCACAGAGTCATCATCATCATGAGAGTCATTGCACAGAGTCATCATCATCATCAGAGTCATTGCAAAGAGTTATCATCATCAGAGTCATTGCACAGAGTCATCATCATCATGAGAGTCATTGCAAAGAGATATCATCATTGCGCAGAGTTATCATCATCAGAGTCATTGCGCAGAGTCATCATCATCATGAGAGTCATTGCAAAGAGTTATCATCATCAGAGTCATTGCGCAGAGTCATCATCATCATGAGAGTCATTGCAAAGAGGTATCATCATCAGAGTCATTGCACAGAGTCATCATCATCATGAGAGTCATTGCAAAGAGTTATCATAGTCAGAGTCATTGCACAGAGTCATCATCATCATGAGAGTCATTGCAAAGAGTTATCATCATTGCACAGACTTATCATCATCAGAGTCATTGCGCAGAGTCATCATCATCATGAGAGTCATTGCAAAGAGTTATCATCATCAGAGTCATTGCACAGAGTCATCATCATCATGAGAGTCATTGCAAAGAGTTATCATCATTACACAGAGTTATCATCGTCAGAGTCATTGCACAGAGTCATCATCATCATGAGAGTCATTGCAAAGAGTTATCATCATCAGAGTCATTGCACAGAGTCATCATCATCAGAGTCATTGCACAGAGTCATCATCATCATGAGAGTCATTGCAAAGAGTTATCATCATTGCACAGAGTTATCATCACCAGAGTCATTGCACAGAGTCATCATCATCATGAGAGTCATTGCAAAGAGTTTTCATCACTGCACAGAGTTATCATCATCAGAGTCATTGCACAGAGTCATCATCATCATCATGAGAGTCATTGCAAAGAGTTATCATCATCAGAGTCATTGCACAGAGTCATCATCATCAGAGTCATTGCACAGAGTCATCATCATCATGAGAGTCATTGCAAAGAGTTATCATCATTGCACAGAGTTATCATCACCAGAGTCATTGCACAGAGTCATCATCATCATGAGAGTCATTGCAAAGAGTTATCATCATTGCACAGAGTTATCATCACCAGAGTCATTGCACAGAGACAGCATCATCATCAGAGTCATTGCAAAGAGTCATCATCATCAGAGTCATTGCACAGAGTTATCATCATCAGAGTCATTGCGCAGAGTCATCATCATCATGAGAGTCATTGCAAAGAGTTATCGTCTTCAGAGTCATTGCACAGAGTCATCATCATCATGAGAGTCATTGCAAAGAGTTATCATCATTGCACAGAGTTATCATCATCAGAGTCATTGCGCAGAGTCATCATCATCAGAGTCATTGCAAAGAGTCATCATCATCAGAGTCATTGCACAGAGTCATCATCATCATGAGAGTCACTGCACAGAGCCATAGCAGAGAGTCACTTGCGAGGAGCAAGGCTCGTGAGAGTCACTGGCGAGGAGCAATGCTCATGGGAGTCACTTCCCAGGAGCAATGCTCATGAGAGTTCTCACTCATGACGAGTTTTAAATTCCTTTCTTCTCTTCTTAGGGCGGCGGGGTAGGGCCGACAACACTCTACGAAAATCAACCCTCTGCGGAGACTCGTGTGGTCGAGGTCAAAACTGAGGACTTTTTACGATTTCTGCGGCGCGCGAGCGACCCTCTGCGGAGATTCGTGTGGTCGAGGTCAAAAAACTGAGGACTTTTTTGCGATTTCTGATCTGTGCGAGCGACCCTCTGCGGAGATAAAACTGAGGACTTTCTCTGCGGAGATTCGTGTGGTTGGTTCCAGGATGAACCCTCTGCGGGGATCGGCGTGGTCGATGTGCAAAAACTGCGGGTTTTTTCGATTCTGAGTATGCTCGTGCGACCCTCTGCGAGGATCGTGCGTGTCGAAGCGCTCTCGTCGCGTGGTTTGCGCGGCTGCTCTCGGAGTCGCGCGGTCGCGGAGTCGATCCCCGCCTGGTCCGCGGAAGCTTTTCTAGACAGAAATCGCAACTTTTAAGTGCAAGGGTAGTACGCGGACGCAGCTCCGGCTGGAAAATCGCAACTATCTAAATGTAGTACGCGGAGTACAGTCCTGCAGCTCCGGCTGCATAATGGAACTTTTGAATCAGAAAACTAGTATGCGAAGCACTTCCAGAAAGCTCCAGCAGCAATTGCGCAGAGCAACTTGCACAGAGCGCTGCCGCTTGCGCAGAAATTGCACAGAGCACTTGCACATAGCAGCTAGCGCAGGGCAACTTGGGCAGACCAAAAGTCAGAGTCATTGAACGGAGTCATCACGAGAGTGATCGCACAGAGTCATCATGAGAGTCATTGCCCAGCATCATCATGAGAGTCCTTTCGCAGAGTCATCATGAGAGAGTCATTGCGCAGAATCACCATGTAATTGGACAGAGTCATCACACAAGAGTCATTGAACAGAGTCATCATGACAGCCATTGCGTAGAGTCACCACACAAGAGTCATTGAACGGAGTCATCACGAGAGTCATTGCGCAGAGTCATCGTGAGAGTCATTGCGCAGAATCATGATGAGAGTCATTGCACAGAGTCATCATGAGAGTCATTGCACAGAGTCATCATGAGAGTCACTTGCGTTGTAGTCACTGTTTTGCTCGAGGGCGGTTTGTGTGTCATCTTTGACGTGCTTGGCAAACTCGTGTGAGGGGGGGTCCGATAGGTGGCAAGATAGCAGGAACAAGGTTAGTTGCTGTGTGTTGCTCGTGACCACATCGAGCAAAAAACTTGCGCGGGAATGATCGCCGTGCTGTGATGCTTTCGGGCCAGCCGTGGTCTATTTTTTTCTCCTTCTTTTTTTTCTTTCTCCCCTTTGTTCATATTTATCATTATTGATATTATTATTATTTTTTTATTATCGTTATTATTAGTATTGTTATTTCTATTCTTATTATTATCATTTTTTAGATTTTTTCACCGACTCTTGGTGATTCGGTTTTTGGTATTTCTTGGGGGTGTGTTTTTTCTTCTTTTTTCTTCGGTTCAGGAGTTGGACTTCTACCGCACCGCTGGGCCAGTGGAGTGGACCTTGGGGGGTGAGATGGGTGACACCTGGAAGTGGCGCCAGCCGCCCAACACCTTCTGGGACGAGAGGCAGGAGTTGGCCGTTCGCGTGCGGAGCCCGGGGCTGTTTGGGCTTCTTGGTGTCCACAATTTCTGCGACTGGCTTTTTGGATGTGCTCGAGCCTAGGAGGGTGGTGTGTGTGTGTGGCGGGGATAGTCCAGGCCCGGCCACAGAGACAAGGCATGTAAGGCAAGGTTGGCTTTGACGCGGACGGTTGCTGAGGCCAACATGGTGACAGGCTTTTCTATTCGGTCTTTGTTCCATGTCGTGAACCTTGCCAATTCAGCATTGACCAGAGAGTGATATGGTCATGTTGTGTTGGTCACCATAACGTACAAGACGAGTGACTTGTTGAGCTTCCGAAAGAATCATGTGCAGTGCGGCCAGGCGCAAGGTGTACATTCAAGAGCAGAAGGGTGTGGACCCCAACCTGCAGCTGAAGGACCTGGAAGGTTTGCTTGCGTCGCAAGAATGACTCGGTCGCCATTCCCAGGATTCGCGGGCGGCTATTTGGCTCCACCCTTTAGGGACGCCTTGATCCAGAGGTTTCCTAGAATAGGGTAAGCAGAGCTTGCATGTGCTGTGCTTTCTGATCTCCAAAACATCACCTTCTGCACGGTGTGGCAGCGAAGGGGACCCTCATTCACTGCACTGTTCCAAATTGGGTGGAAAAATGAGAGCACGGAAGATGTTGTGCCGTGCGAGTACAAGCAAAGTATAAGCCGAACACAAAGCTCCTGCGAGTCACATTGGTGTCGCCGAGCTTGTCGCAGCGGATGCGCGAAAACGGCGCACTTTGAGACACACAAGCGCAGCGCCTGCGGCGCAGCTCGGCGTAAAGCGCACGCTGGCTGACACAGAAGGTTTTGTTCAGCCCCGTATTCGCGTGAGGAACTACGGCAAGGCATGAAAGGTCTCTTTGGGTTGGCCTGCGCACAACAGACCTGAGCAAATCATTTTGGCACCGTATGATCTTCGAAGGACCCTTGCACCAGTTTACGAACCGCAAAATTGCGCTGTTGGGGGAACACATCGCTACCCACACTGGTACTCTCGTCCTCAAGCAAGTGCTTCTTCCGCATGACCCGTGAAGCTCAATGTGACAGTGATGAGACTTTGCATCATCAGCTCGCAACAGCTGTTTGGGCCAAAGCTGGTCTAAAACCGCTGGCGACATGCTGGGAAACAGTGTTGCCTTGAACCCCAACAGAATGTTGGAGTAGAGGCGAGAATAGGGTTGAATATGAGATGGTCTGCAATACAGAGTGTCCAGACGCTGGCATTGCACGTCACATCGGCTGAAGGAGCTCCGTCAGCACATGCTGGCCATCACGCGCATGCGCCGCTCGGCCAGAACCGGACCATGTTTCTTCCGGGTCTCATCGGGAGCTGGCCTTCCTGCTAGGCAGCATGTGCAGCGTGGGGCGCGTGAGCTACTTTCGCGGCATAGTTGTGGCCGAAGCCTTAGATTCCTTAGATCTAGCCCCGGTCCATGTCTGAGAAAAGGGAATAGCTCTGGCCTCAGAAACGATCCTAAGAACCTGGGTTGAGAAACGTTGGGCAGCTTATCGAAGCAGCTACTTGAGACAGTGATCACAAAGGTCCGAACACGGTTGAAGGATGAGGGACCGAAGGATCAGAATCTGAACAATTCAGGATTTTGTTTTTCACTGTCGTCACACCTGTTCGTTTTCTTGTCTACCCTGTTCGTGAAAAGGGGCTTGCAGAACTCGCACGCATGCCCAGCTCGGCCTGGAGGTGGGCAACGGCCGGGGCGTCTACGGCTTCGGCATCGGCTTCGGCAACACGCCCAAGGAGTGCCGCTCTGATGCCACTCTGCGGGCACTGCAGCAGCCTGGCAAAGAGCAGGTCTCCGATTCGGTGGGTTCATCAAAGAGTTTCTGTTTCTCGGGGTTTTTATGGCCTAGAATGTCGTGAGAAGCAGGCGGGAAGTTGAGAAGAGGCCAACGGCGCATTTTGAGTTATCGTTAGACGTGTGAGTCCAGGGTTGCCCTGGCGCACTCCTGCAAAGTGAGATTACGTTTGAGAGGCATACAAGCAGAGTGTTTCACCCACCTGAGCATTTGCTCTGATTAGAGAGTTGGATGGAGGCTTGTCATTTTGCACATGTGTTTGTTGTGACCCAATGCAAAGTTCGGCCATGCAACGTAAATAACGATTGGTGGTGAATACATTTCGCACAAATGTTCTGCGCTCTCTTGCTCTACATGAATTGGTTCCTTCCAACCTCCACGGTTGGGTGTGTTGGGTGTGCTGGGTTCAGGGTTGGGATGGCACTGGCATCAGACAGCAAGTTGCTGGTGCTATGGAAGTGACAGATGATCAGTTGAGCTTGACGCGTTTGTTGACTTTTTACACTTTTGCAGCATCAGCTTTCCGCTCACTTTTGGGAGGATGACCGTAGTCACTCAGTTGTGCAGTCTTTCGTGCCTTTCCGAAAGAAAGCGGCAGGCTTTGGATGTCTAGAAGTCATGACGCATTGTGGCTGTGGGTCAAAAATACGAACCCAAAATGGAACCCTGGTAAATAGAAAGAAGGACTAACACCTGCGGTCTCCTGGTGGTTTAATTTAATTTTGACTCATACCCTTGTGATGGCGTGTGTAGCTAGAAGGTGACAGGCCTCTCCCATGGCATCTCTGCAAAGCGGTTGGATTCTGAACGCATGTGTTGCGACGATCGTTTGTCATTTGTCACCTCAGGAATCTGGACTACATTGATTATGACCCTGGGCGAATGCTTTGCACGCCATGCAGCTTGGTTGTCAGGGGCTACTGCAATTAAGATCTTTTCTTCGCCTGCAGATGAAGACCGCACATCATGCATTGTTCACGCGGTGCTTGCGTTGCTTGAGTTTCGGTATGGGCATTTGAAAAGTGCACTAGCAGTACAGCCAAAATGTTCCATGCCCGAATGCCTTGGGGAAGCCTTCGTGTGTGCAACCTACTTTGCAGGACCAGTTGTTTTTTTTCCACAGGTTTGGGGTTATTAGGTTTAGCCAGCAGTTTGCCCGGAAGCCTTGCATCGTCAGCGCCAGTCGATACGACAGCTTGATGATGTAGTTGACCCAGACAGCAGTGCCGACCAAATTCGGAGGCTCCTGCCATTGGCAACCTGACCTGTCCTGGACAGCAGTGAACTCAACCCTAAAGCTTCTGGTGGTCTGACCTGAGTGGCAGGGTCTCGACCCAAAGACCAGAGCCTCAGCTCCCAGAAGCCCGCGCACTGCGACCTGTTCCCGTAGACTCGTCCGGACTGGCCCACGCAACTGTGACAGACCGAGCCTTTGACTTCCATGGATCGCCGCGTGGATTCGCGCTCCTTCGTCAGCACAAAGCAAGTTACCTTCTTTTTGTGAGCGCGTGCCAAAAGCCAGTTTCCCCCAACATATAGCAGTGCGTGCAAACATGTACCTGATTCTTTGGCGCATGGCTGCGCGTCGAGAGAGGTGACACTGTTTGCCTGGCCTGGTACCTTGAAGGGGGACCTTCGGGGGAAGAATTTGTTTGGCATGTGCTTCCGCGACGATGGCGCGCTGTCTTGCCTTTATGCCGGCTTTCTGGCGGCGGAGCTGCCTAGTTGTGGCTTTGCGTCGGACCTGGAAGTTGCTGGCAAGCCCATGTGCGAGCCCATTTGCCCCTCAGAACGTTGTCCCTGGGCAACGGGGCGTTGGCCAGCGTGGATCCCTGAGAAGCGGGAGGGAACGGTGCCTTTAGCTGGCAACTGTGCGTACGCCTTCTTGAAGTTAGCCGCAACTTACCTTCCCTCACCTCGCCTCTCCTCGCCTTGCCTCACCTATTGAGTGACTGATTGACTGAGTGACTAGGTGACTAAGTGACGGAGCGATTTCCGCGGTATGCACGTGCTTTTCAAGGACCATGAGCGTCAACAGATGGCTCAAGCATAAGTCAAAGGAAGCTTTCTGCGACAAACGTCTTCCTTTTTCTTTGTTGCAAACTTTCTTCTTTCTTCTTCTGCCTTTTTCTGTGTAGTCCTTTGCTCCTTTTTCGTCTTAGGCAAGGGACAGGAGTACAAGCACACCATGGCGCTGATCCCGCGGCCTATTGGCCGGGGCATCAAGGCCAACAAGAAGTTCCTTCCGCACCAAGGCCGCAAGACGAGTTCCTCATGGCTCATCGCCGGCTCCGTGCTTTGCTTCATGGAGTTCGGCGAATTCGGCGAATTCCGTGAGCTGAGGCTTTTGTACATACTCGGCCTTGACAACGTCAAGGCGCGCGACTTTGTTTCTCCTCGCAATAAGGGCCTCAGGGCGCGGGTATGCACACCTCTCTGGCCGACTTGCCATGACACCTGCATTTCCTGGATGCAGTGACTTGCCGAGGTGAAGTTCATGCACCAGAAGCTGTTCACGCGAGTGCGTGCCATCAAGCGGTGCCTGGAGCAGGCGCAAGTGACAAAACTCGGAGCCTGGGAAGCGGCGTCAAGGAGAGACGCGCTGAAGGTCTTGTTGCTTGGTATATGGCTCAAATGCTCGTACCCCCAGTGAACATCCCAATCCCCACTAAAATAGACTAAAATGGGTGGTGCACCTACCCAAAAATGGTACCATTGGTTTTGACCCACAGCCAATATGATAGAAGTCAATGGTGACGTTTGTTTGTTCAGAATGCTGGGCGGCCAGCGCAACTGCCTAAGATAAGTTTGACGTTGCGTTCCTACTGGGATACCGGTGTACAATCTCGGTAGTCTGCAGCATTCTCGAACCCGTCTGGGTTCTATGCTCGATGCAGGTAATGTCACGCCGAACTCTGGCCAACATGACCGGAAAGCGATATGCATTGCTGGTTGCTCCCGGTGATCATTGGGTTCATTGGCCAGATCGCGTCTTGCCTGAACTATTGCACCAAGCAGTGCTGCAGCAGTGTGAGACCATGCTCCTTCTTCTTCTTTGTCTTGCTTTATTCTTTTCAATCTGTTTCTTCGTCCAGTTTGGACTTTTCAAAGTCTGCTTGATCGATTGAAACGACTGTTCCGAAGTTTGAGGGACGACCGCCGAAGGGGTGCTGGGAAGCGACTGTGATCCAAGCGCCCTGGAAACCCAGGCTGGTTTGACGTGACCTCTGAGCCTTACAAGGCGGATGGGCTGTGTGTGTGACTGCGCCATGCGGATTTCAACAGGTTGCCCAGTTGTGGGTCTGCTAGAAAGATGCGGCTCATTCAGCCTGGCCACCTAGATCCACAAAGTTACCGGTGGCTTTTGGCAGGTGCCCTTCTGTGTCGTTCTTTCAGGCATAGATGGGCTGTGACTGCAGCATGTGTCTGCGGATTTCAGGTTGCGCAGTGGATTTTCGCGCCAGGCAGCAGATCGTTACCGGAAGTACATCCGCCGCCACGCCTTGCACTTCAAGAAGCGCGGCGCAAAGATTCCCATCCCCGAGGATGTGCAGCCAGGAACCTCGGCTGGCAAGTTCCGTCCAGACCGCGTCGCCCGCCTTGGTCGGTTTTTTGCCACCCTTTGTGGCACAGAGTTGCCGGGCAACGCAGCATCGGTGGAGGATTGTTGAGAGGGTCGTTGTTGTCAGGCTGGAGCAAGAAGAGCTGGGCCAAATGGAACAATCCTTTGGAGCGCTGGATACAGCGGCGGCGTTGCTTGGCAGCCTTCTTTCCAGTTCGCGCTTCTTCCTTCTTTGTCTTGTCGGTAGTTTGCTGCCTGCGTCGTCTTCATACAGGAAACGCAAGCAGTGCTTGATGCTACTGGTCGTACTCTCAGGTGAGTTCTACGAGCCTCCGCCTCCGCCCAAAAAGCAGGAGAAACAAGCACGGCGCTGAGGTGGAGTTTCAGGACGAATCATGAACACACTGTTTTTTTAGTCTTCCCGTTTCAATCCTTCCATGTAACTCAAGAAGTTAGTTGTGTGTTTGTATCTTGCAAGATGGAATTCAAGTCCGGCTTGCTGACTCACAGCTGCACCAAGGCAGGTGCAGCTGCCTAGACTCTAAGACCAGGCTGGGGAGCCTCGGAATCATTCGGAACATGCCCACAAGCACCTTGCAAGAACTGGTTCTCCTTTAAAGCAGCTTGCCAAATGTCAGATCCACTTGACACGTGCCGAGCCTGCAAGAGGAACTGTTGCGGTTCTTGCTCCCTTTTTAGCTTGCCTTGCTGCCTTGCTTCCCTGGTTTGTTTTTGGTCTGCTGCTGCAATCTAACTCCAAGCCTTGGACGGGCAAAGAACTGCTTGCAAGGCTGAGCCCCTTCTGTCACACATGTTCAGATAAATTCTTCTACTCTCCTGTCGCGGACTTGGAGAGGAGGTTGCCCCACTCACAAATATGCTCGTCTGGAGCCAGACAGCAAGCACCACACGCCTCAAGCCGCGATTTCGCCATGCGTGTGGCGGCGCTGTCTGGCGACACTGTTACTGAGCTCGACGGGGATGTGCTAGAGGAGCTCGCAACCAACAGCAGCGGCTTTGCTTTTGCCCTGAAGCGGCACTTGCAGCCATTGCTGGGCGTCTCCGCCTACCGTCTGAGGCAAGGCGCGCACTGTGCACAGCTTCCTGTTGCCAGGGGCGGTTTTTCAATCTTGGTCCTCGCAATTTATCGATATCCTCATCAGGAGTCATTTGGAGTCTTCTGGTTTTCCAGCTTTCCAGATGTGCCGTTTGTCCAGGTTGTTGTTCCAGGACCAGGAGATCATCAGCTGCCCTGCAGCGGACCTTTGGCATTTGGACCTGCAGCTCCTAGTCTTGCCCTACCGTCAGGACAAATCCCGAGAATTGCTGGATGCCGCAGAGTGGGGAGACCTGTTCGAGGCAGCCCGGCTGTTGGAGTCCTCCCAGGACCCCAACGCCAGTGGCGACAACCTGGCCCCGCTGCATGCCGCTTCCTGCATGGGGCATTTGGACATGGTGAAGTTCTTGCTGGAGGCTCGGGCAGATGCGAATCAGTCCGGCGTGTATGGCACGCCTTTGTTGATTGCCGCGGAGCGTGGGCGCTTGGATGTTGTCCGATTCTTGGTGGAAGCGGGCGCTGCCAAGGATGAGGCCACTGATGATGGCTCTACGCCCCTGTTGTGCGCGGTCAGTGGGGACCACCTGGACGTGGTACGGTTCCTTGTGCATGCAGGCGCTGACAAAGATCTGCAAGGGCGTGATGGTGCCACTCCTTTGTTGCGAGCAGCCGGCGCCGATCACTTGGAAGTCGTTCGGTTTCTTGTTCACGCTGCGGCTGACATGAACATGCATGCCAGCAATGGCTTTACGCCCTTGATCTCAGCCATCTTCAGGAACAACGTAGACGTGGCACGCTGCTTGGTGGCGGCCGGCGCAGACACCAACAAGCCCACAGAGGATGGCACCCCACTGCTCTACGCAGTGGCGGACGGTCACCTGGAGCTGGTGCGCTTGCTCCTGGAGGCCGCGGCAGATCTGGACCGGGCCTCTGAGAACCTGGGTCCACGTTTGGTGACATTTTTCGTCGAAGCCTGACATCGTGTTTTTCTTTTTTCGTCGAACAAGCCACTGGTTTTTGATAGCGGCAGTCGATCCGGGCCGAAGTTCCCAGGAGCGGCACCACGCCGCTGCTCTGCGCCGCGGAGGAGGGCCACTGGGAGTTGGTGCGGCTCTTCCTGGAGGCCGGCGCAGACTTCTCGGAGGTGCGGAGGTCGGACGGCGCCACGGCGCTGCTCTGCGCGGCGCGGAACGGCCATGCTGAAGCGGTGCGGTGCTTGCTGCAGGCCCGCTTTGTCCTTCGGGACCTTAGGGCCTTTGGGGCCTTTGGGGCCTTTGGGGCCTTTGGGGCCTTTGCGCCTGTGGGCCTATGGGGTCGTTTGGGGAATTCTTTGTTTCCTTGTGTTCCCTCAGCAAGAAGTTGGGGATTTCCTTTTTTTCTTCTTTTCTTTCTCCCCCGGATTTTATTGTGTTTTCTTAGCACCCTTCGAGTTCTGATTTGCGACGAGTCCCCAAAGCAAGTTCTCGCCAGGCCCGGGCCAGCGCTGAAGGCGTTCAGGGCACAACAGGCACAACGGCGCTGAGCTGCGCTCGGGCCGAGGGCCATGAACAGGTGGTCTGCCTTCTGGAGCGTAGAGGGCAGAAGCGGAAAGCCAGCGGAAAGGGAAAGAGAGCAACAGGGGAATGGGAAAGCTCATATCATCCTTTCCCTGGTGTGAGCGTCAATGCTTAAATGAAAGGTGTTTCGTCCAAGGCTTTGTCCTCCTTTGCGGATATGTTAAAACAGTGGCCGCATGGCCTTTGTGGAAGTGAATATGTTAGATGTGCCCACTTGAACGTTTCAGACCTGGTCATCAAGTATGCTACGCTTTGCTTGCTTGGAAGATCGCACGTACACTAAGTCCATAGCTGCGGGAGAAGAAAGGTAAGAGTCATATGGATTATTGTTTCAGCCACACATGCACAAAATGTTCCGCTGCTGCCTGATGCTAAAGATCAGGCTTCACCGGATGTTCGGCAACTTTCTGTCAAGCAGAACCTGGTTATCAGGCATCCGAATGTTTCAATGAACTGATGTATTGTTACCTGGTCTTACTGTATCAATGAGGTTTGTGATGCGCCTTGCTGTTTTGCATGCCTTGAGCAGGCTTTGTCAAACTTTTTCACGGCCGGGGTATCATCGGAGCCACAACAGCAAGGCTTTTATCACAGGAAGTGTTGGCGTGCTGTCGAGTTCAGGTTCGTGCTGCCAATCCGGCAGCTCATGCCTCGCTGTTTCCACCAGAAGTGTCTTGCCCAGGCCTGGAAGCTGAACTCATGGTCGTGCAGCCTGAGCTGCTCACTACGAGCAACTTGCCAAGAAGGGGTTGGGAGCTCTGGGATTTGCTGGGATCGCTCGTTGCGCAATGGCCAGTGCAAGGTTCATGCCATATCGCCCGTCGCCACCGTCGCCATGGCGTTGGATGCCTTCCTGGCGGCTGCGTACCGGCTGCGGCCCGGGCAGAAGCTCCGCACGGAACTGCTGCAGCAGGCGACGGAGCTCCTCGAGCAGCACCCGGCGCGGGCGGCAGAGATCGCCATGGCCGCCGGTCGGCTGCGCGGCGCCGGCTTCGGCCCGGGCGAGGCGGAGCCGGTGGCGCGCTTCGCGGCGGCCTTCGGGCGACTGGCGGCCCAGCGGCTGCCGAAGGACGGGGCTTTGACGCGGCCGCAGGCGCGTGAGGCGCTTGCGTCCTACGTGGCGGTGGAGGGCCTGGGCGATGCCGCCGCGGAGACTGCCCGGTCTTTGGCGCCCCACGCTGCAGCCGCCGCCGAGGTCTTGGAGCCCCCGGAGCTCACTGCAGCCTTGGCGCGACTTGCAGCCAGCAGGACCAGGGACGGAGTGGATTCCGAGTCAGGGCGGTGTGTAACTGCAGCAGATGTGGCAGTTGCTTTGCAGAAGCCGCTGGTCAAGGCCGATCTGCGGCAGCTCAGCGCTCAGGATCTTTGCAATGCGATGGTGGGTGTGGCAAGGTCGCCGCTTGTTTTACCGGATGCTGCCAGTGCGCTTGCCACTGCCGCCAATGGCCGTGTGGGGGAATTGTCCTTCCGCGCGCTCCTAGACTTTTCGCGGGCTGTAGCAGAGCTTGCAGCAGCGGTTCCAGCAGACCGGCGACAACCACTGTCTGCTTGTTTGTCCGAGGCTTGGCCTCTCATGGCTGCGTCAGCCCGAAGAAGCTTGACCCAGTCCAGCGAAGTGGGCATGTGCCTTTCTGGCTTGGCTCGCCTGGCTGCCAGCTTGCAGGAGTCCCCCGAGGTTGCGGCCTTCAAGGCAGAGGTGCTGACTCCAAATGCGGACTCCTTATTGACGGCGTGCCTGGATGACATGCGATGGATAGAGCTTGCTGGCCCACTCCTCCATTTGGAGGGAGGGGAGGCATGGAAGAAGCTGCTGCAGTACCTAGCACTGGAGGGTCTGGCAAAAATGCCAGCTTCTGGGAGCTCGTCCTCCCGCTTGGTCTCCGTGCTCGAGTGGGTGCATTCCAGCGAAGGCCACCTCTCCTGCCCTCCCTTCTTCGACTTCGCCTTTCAGGAGTTGAAGCACCGCCTGCCCCAGCTGCCTGCGCCAGAGCTGCGGAAGGCGACGCGACTGCTGGCCGAGGCGCACGTGGAGCGCGTGGATTTGCTCCCGGCTTGTGCCGCCGCCTTGGAGGAGGTGTCGCCACCCTGGCCGCTGCCCGAGCTGGCGCTGTACCTCTCAGCCTTGGCGCGGCTTCACCACCGCCTGGCAAGCACTGCAAGCACTGCAAGCACTGCAAGCACTGCAAGCACTGCAAACACTGCAAGCACTTCAAGCACTTCAAGCACCAGCACGGAGGGCAAGGAGGGCAGAGGCAAGGAAGGGGCGGAACAGGAAGTGTTGGGCAAGGCCTTTTCTGCAGCATCTTTGCAGGCGCAGGAGCTGACCCCAGAAGACGCAGTCAGCGATGCAGCCTGGCTTGCCCTCTCCGCCTTTGCACAGACGAGCTCAAGGCAAGCGGCAGAGGCAGGGAGGCAGTTCCTAGACGCCCTGTGCACTGCATGGGGCAAGCGCCCCGCCCCACTCTCACTGCAGCAGGTTCACATTTTTGTGACCGCCCTTCGGGGCTTCTGTGTCGGCAAGGGTGCACCAGCGCCGCCCTTGTCGTCGTTGCCGGTCTTGGAGGAGGGGCAATCCAGAAAGCAAAGTGGCAAGACGTTTCGTTGAGACTAACCCAGTTTTCTTCAGCCTAACAGCCCAGCAGCCCAGCAGCCCAAGAAAACCAACAGCCCCTGTCAGGAGGTGGTGCGCCACACCGTTGCCGCGGCTGCGCATGACAAGGAGGCGCGGCTCTGCTTGGCTGTGCTGCACGAGCTCGGCGAGGACACCGCCTGCCCGGCAGTGCTGAAGTCGCTGCTGCCGGCCAAGGAGACTTCGCCTGAAGCGATGGATCCGCGGCAGCGCTTGAGGGCGTCCATGTCACATGGCGACAAAGAGCCGCACAGCGATGCAAGCCCCCGTGGTGGGCTTTTGCGCCGGATCTTTGGGTTCTGAAGCGAAAGAAACCGGAGAAAAGCGCTGAAGCATTGCAAGCCAAGATTTGGTTTGCTTCTTGCCCTTTAGCAAACTAAGACACTGCTGCAAATAGAAACTTAGTGGAACATGGAATCAGCACAGGCCCAAACCCTGTGTTTGTGTCGCCCGAGCTTAGGCAGATCTGAGCTCCTGAGTCGCATGCCTGAAATGTGCACCTTGGCCGTTTGCCGTTCTCCACAGATTTCATCGCGCAGAAAAGGATCGCTTGCTCAGAATCTCTAAGTTAATTAGAATGTTATAAGTCTTAAAGCTGAATTAAAGTCCTTGAGGTGTGAGGGCAATCACTGCGATGCTGGAGAGCTTGCCCGAAACATCGAAGTGCTCCAACAAGGGGATGTCTGCAAGAAGTTGCAACTGCAGGCCAAGGCTTCGAGGAACATTGGCAGTTGCAACATGCGCTCCCTGCTACTCCGTGCACACATGATGTTCTTGCATGGGTTCACTACCCCATTTTCCAACGCAAACAATCCGGTAGATTCAGTAGCAGCCAATGAGTTGCCTCAGACTTTGGACTTCCATGTCACCTTTTCAGAATCCATTTCGCGACTTTCAAGATCTCATGCTAAGCAGTCTGCCTCCGGAGCCAATTGAGCAAGAGGGGAGCTGCGGGTGGGGATAGAGCCATTAAGCTTCTGGCGGGCCTCTTGCAATGCTTTTCTTAGGAATCCAAGTGGCAACCGGTGTTTGGCAGTTGTGTCAACTTATTTGGCCGCAGCAGCTCAGCTCGGCTCAACTTGCTACTTTCCGGAGCTTGAACTGCCGACATGAGCCGCTCGGCAAAGAAGTCTAAGCTGAGGGGGGGGCAAACCAGAAAGATATTTGTCTTCAGTTTGAATTCTTTAAGACCACCTTGAAAAGGGTACCCTCAAAAGGGTACACTCAAAAGGTGGCAGGGGCTGGCCTTTGAGTCACGCCCACAAGATCCATTGGATTGAGTCAGCGACAAAGCTGAGGCGACTTGGGACTTTGGACGGTGGTCGGCGGTGCTGACAAAGGCCCGGTGAGTTGAGAGGCAGACTGAGGCAAGCTCTAGTTTTGAGTCCCACCTGGCGGTGTTCTTTGCCCAAGGAGATGTGGACGCTAGTCGGTGCAAAAATGGCATGCGAACACTTGTGGTTGTGCAGCTTGGTTTGACTTGTCCAAGTGCTCCAAACGAGCAGTACCACGATAATTCCAGATTTTCCACAACACTTTGACCTAATCACGGAGGCTCCTGCCGCATCGGCAATCCCATATCATGGCAAAGAACTCCTATGACAACCAGATGTCACTGACTTCCGTTTGGCATTTGTGCCGTTCGCCAGGCGGAATCATCGTCCGGGCCGAGCGCGAGCTTGGCTCTTCCGCTGTAGCACGACTGTCTACTGGCGCAGTGGCTGGGTGCTCAGACGTCTATGTGCTCGCGAGCCAAATCCCATCGATACCCAACGTTTCTTTCGTGCCACACATTGAGCTCTGTCCTTGGGGCTGTTTGTGCTGGCCAAGGCAGCTTTCCTTCTCAAGATTCTCCATGGTCGTTGCCGAACTCGAGGTTCAAACAGCATTTTCTGCGTCTCTCCAAATGCCACTTGCAAACCCCTGGTGCACTCCCCGTCAGCCCCATGGCCCCTCCCTCAGTGAATTGGATGAGGTGAAAGGCCTGGAGTGCCATGAGGGCCGCATGTTCTATGAACTCGTCCAGGGCCAGGGCCCTGCCAAGGCAGGGGTTCGGGGGTTCGCTTCCTCTCGGGGCACCTGATGCTTTCACAGGGGATTTGCCGCGTTTGGGGGAAGAAGCCTTGTTTGCGTGCTGCATCAAGATTGGGTGCCCTTCCTCTGTGGGGAGGGGGGGGCTGGTTTAGTTTAGTAGGCGGGTTCTCGGTTTGATTTAGGGTTGGGTTCATGGTAGATGGTTCGTTAGGATTCAAAGATAGGCTAAGGGTGGGTTTAGAATAAAATGGTGTAGACTTGGTTTAAGGTGGGCGTGGGCTTAGTTTGGTCTCAGTTCTAGATCGGTTTTGAGTTGTTTCAGGGCTTGTTCAGAAGGGGTTGCGGGTTGGTTCAGGTGAGTTTAGTGGGGTTTAAGTCATGTTAAGGGTTTAGAGTTGGTATATCGCTCCTTTCAAGGAAATCAGGGTTTGTTTGATGCCTGCTGGAAGCTTACAGGGCAAGGATGGGCTGAGGATGCTGCCGCTGGCCATACCCCGGCATCATGTACAGATTATGTATTTTCATATCCAGGTGCATAAATACATATTTCAATGATCTGGTGCCCCGACCAAATCGAGCAACACGGGCCACAATAATTTCATCAAAAAGCATCTTAAATCCTGACCAACCGCAAAGCACTTTAAAGTGTTTCTATAAACTGCGTCTTGTTTTGTTCCACTGAATCGAAGATTGGATTGACGAGTTCTCCCCTGGCCCAGTTCTTGCTTCGTCTTAGATAAGGACAAATAGCCCTTGTGACATTGAATATAATTATTCCCATTTGACAAATTCAGCAGCTGTCAAGAACATTCATTCGGTTGCAGTGGAACTTGTTTTAAGATTTGATTTGAACCGAGTTTGATTAGAATGTAAATGAGATTATGTGAATATAATTTAGTCCGACTGTAAATGGAACTGCACAAGGACATGGAGCACTTGGACATATCAGGTAGCAATATAGATATTGCCCTAAACGAAACGAGGAAGAAAACAGACAAAGTGTACGTCACGTGCTGCAATTGCTGTGAGTAAAGCGACTTTCGAGGTGCTTAAATAGGAACTCCAAAGTTGAGGGTAACTGTTGTTTGATGCAACTTTGCATGGAATTGAACATGGAATTACATTCTTTTAAGTTACACTGGAATCTACGTGGGGCTGCCTTCAAATCATGTCAATGGCTGTGCTTCTTTGCTCAAACTTTGCCAGTCATCGTATTAGTTGTTCCTCGCAGAAAACGCTGCAGTCCTAGCTCAGTATCCTTTGTAAATGTTCCACGGCGATTTTCTGAGTTGTTTGAGGCTTCGCAAGGACGCTGTTTACGGCATTTCTCCAAGGTTGAGTCTCACTTGATCTTGGAGGTCTAGAGTGTCTGCTGTGAAACTTACCCAAATGCAGGTGAATCGCGGGCGCCGGGGGCAGACTTAAGTATATATGTATATGCATCTGTATGCACGTGTATGTACGCAACGTAGGGAAATCTATTGTAAGGTCATGCAATGTAGTGCAATGCAGTGCAATGGAGTGCTTTGCAATGTATTGTTCGTGTTCAAATTGTAGAAGCATGTCAGCAACTACATTAAGATCACTCAGGCTGAAAGGTGGGCCCCAGAAAGGGGGGGGGGCGGGTGACCATAGACACAGATATATATATATATATATATATAGATACGTATGTATACATATAAATACCTGGGTGCTGTCTGGGACACTTCTTCCAAGTTGGAGGCGCGAAACTCAACAGGGCCGCTTGCTATGCGATGGATTGCGCTCAAGCGATGCCAAGCGCCCGTGAGCCCCGAAGGGACGTTTCTTCTTACCTTTCTGCTTTTGCTTTTCTGCGCACTTCGAGAGAAGCCTTGAACAAGGACACAGAGCATCCTTAGCCAAATGCAGTCACTTGAAGCCGATGAGGTGAGTTTCCATTGGGGTGATGTTCCAAAGAGAGTGCCCCATGAAATGGCTTCAAGTTGACCGGTCCTAAAAGGCTGAAGTTCCATAGTTGAAGCAAAATCAGATCCCCCTGGCAGTGGTGGATCCAATGAGAAATACAAGTCATTCAACGATCATTGGGCAGTTGACTCCTTCATTGTCCATGTTTTTTGGGAGGTTTTACCACTTGAGGTTGTTTCCGGGTCGATATCAGCCGGCTGGTAGGGCTGGGTAACTATGAGCCTCAAGGGCAAGGAGCTGCTGGTGAAAGGTGTCGAGGAGAGCCGGATGCGTTGCACATTGGCGCTCATGACGGGGCTGAGGCCAGCCTTTTGGATCATTGTTTTTCGGCTGTAATGATGCCGTCTCTTGAAGTTGGATCTTTTCTTTCTTTTTGCTGGGTGGATTTTCATGGGATGAACATTGTAGCTATCACTCCTGCCCTGTTCTCATGACTTCAACTCTGACATCCAATCTCAGACACTGGCTGCTTTGAGAAGGCACTCGCACCATTCCTAAGTAGTGCCCATATAGACTAGCTAAACTCACCAAGTCAAGTTCAAACCCGTCCTCCACGAGGCACAGAAGTTCTTACGAAAGCTATGGACGTCCTTCCCCCCCCCTTCCGCCTGCTAGCCAGTGTGCGAGAGGGTCAGTAGCCGGGCAGCTTGCACAGTTCACAGCCTGCCCTTGATGGCCTCTCAAGCAAGAAGCGAGGAGTCCACAAGCGAGGGCAGCACCAGCGGCAGCGAGAGCCCCAACACCGAGGACATGGTATCATGTTGCTGCGCACTTTTTAGTGTACATGTATGACTATTTATTGAGGCATCGCTGCTTTGAGTGGCAAGCAAAAAAGTCAAGGCTTGCTTCTTATGTGCTGGAAGTTAGCTGTTCCCAGCACCGCCCTGGGATTGAGTTCCGGAAAGCTTAAGTCGGAGGTGTCTTTCAAGTAGTTTCGAGCAAGAGCAGAACCTCCTTTTGGCATTTTGTTCCGGAGTCGACACAAGCAGCGACGGATAGCTCATGGAATCCCCTGATCATCACCAACAGAAGCCAACTTGTTTGAGGGTAACACATTTCTTGATAACTAGAAAGCGGTATAGGCCTTAGCCGGGAATATCCTTTGGAGACATTTACTTTATGGGCAGTGGCGACTTGCATCTTCCTGCACAGGACATGGACGTCAAGGGCGAGAAGATCACAGCAGATGAGACTCGTTCCTGTTGAATAAGGCAAGCAAAGGTAGATCAGCATGGCCCGAATGGGCTGCCACTGCGCTTGCTTCTTTGTGCTAAGATTTCAGCCCATTGAGCAGAATCCTGTATGTCAAGTTCCAAATGACATCAAGCTAGCTTTGCCAATTGTTCCTTCTTATCTTGCTCTCGGAGATTGTTCCTTTGCCAAGACGTTGCTGCCATGTGCTCTGTTGACTTCCCAGACTTCATGATAGTCGCAATGTTCATCAACAAACCTTTCCAGCATGCCCCATACTCCAAATGCTGTCGTTGAAGGTTTTGGGGCAAAGTCAGAAAGGTCAGTTTTTCGCTGGATGAGTTGGTCCACATCTACCTTGTAGATCCTAGCAAGTCCTTTCTGCGATATGTTCTGCTATCAATCAGCAACAACCGGCATTTCTTTCTGCCTGCCTGTCTGTCAGATCTGCATGTCTGCGTAGCGTTCTGCAACATTCAAGTGGCACAGGGAAGAAACCTTTTTGGCACCACGGGCTCGCGAATGGCTTGCAAACTATAGGAGGCAGTTTGCAAAAAGAGGTATACACAAGCTGACATGCTGATCTAGGTTCAGGGTAGCCATGCCCGGGTTGAGCATGTCCGCACAACGCCCCACCTACCCCTGTAGCCCAACAATGCCCAATGAGATCGCGAAAGCCGCCCCACAAGGGGTGCGCAGCGTATCTCCTCCATCCCTTCTTGGACATTTTGATGCGTGTCCGTTCCCTGGCTGTGAGAAATGCCAGCCTATTAGGTCAGCAAAACATTGCAGTCTTTCTAGGGAGATCTTTTCTCCCAACTCCAGTCCGTGACATCTCCAGCCACACTAAGTGATCCTGTAGGAGTTCATAGGAGTTGCAGCGTGGGTCCGCTTCAGCCCAGACCTCCCGTATGCTGAAATGGCCTGTTCGCAAGATCTTGGAGCATCCTCAAACAGGGTTGGTGCGTCATAGTCTTATAGCAGCAAGCTGAAAAGTCATTCACACCTCAGGAGAAGGAGGCTCTGCGCCTCTATGAGACCAAGTTTGGCGAAGCCCAAGAGGGTGCTCATGTGCACACGGGCTACAACCGCAAGTCTTTCCCCTGGGCAATGCCGCAGAAGGACGGACAGGGCAAACAACAGAGACAATGCAGATAGCTCGGCTTTTGACTCCGGCATTTCAGACAAGATGGTAAGCCTGCAGAGGTGGTGCAGTGCTAGTGCCAGAGGCAATTGCCAGAGAAGTGGAGACACCCAACATCGTGGGTCGTGAGAATGCTTGAGCGAAACGCTGCGCAGGTGGCAAAGGAGACATCAGAGGAGCTTATCAAAGCGACGCAGGCCAGATTTGCGGGATGGCAGCATGCTTTGGGATGGGATCACACGTAGGTCACCGAGCACAGCATTTTGGGCGCACCCCCCCTGCTGATGACTTACCCTCACAATGGAAGTTCTCAAGATTCAAAGCAGCATCAACACAATTCAATTTGACGGCAACACTGCTGCAATCATATAATTCGCCGGCATATGAGGGTGCTGCTGCTTTCTCATGAGGGTTCTGGTGCTGCCTCAGAGACAATCAGAGGCGTTTGGAGGACAATTGTCCTGACGAGTGTTCACGGGCTCGAGGCTTTCAAGGAGAAGCGCCAGCGGAAGACTCGCTATTGGGACGTGGACTCGGACGGGGAGGAGGCCATTGCCGTGAGGGTTCACTTTGCGTGGTGATGACTTTTTTCATTCATTGGTCTTAAGGAGAAGTGGAGAGTTCAAGGAGCACATGGAATGAAGGGAACCAACAGACCAATTCATTTGGCGAAACGTCAGTCATCCTTGACTTCTTCGGGGTGGCCCTAGCTGCTTCTATAGTGCTGTGAAGGTAGCTTGCTAATTTGATTTTACACTGCCGGCAAGATGGGCTTGGAAGAAGCGTAGAGGGGGCAGAAGCGACTGAAGACCTGGGTGCTTCGTCTAAAGTCGTTTTATGTAATCCTGCTGGTGGACTTCAATTGGGGCTTTTGGACAATGATGAGCCAGTATTTTTGCATTGGCACATTTGCACATGCATTTGCACATCACAACAACAACGACACCATTGTTTCATACATCATGGAGCGCAGCCCATGACACTTCTGTGTCATCATTCCAGGTAAACATGTCAGCCTCATTGGGACTGGCATTCCCGGGTTGTCCTGAAGAAAGATAGCCTGAACTCGGTTGGGCCAGTTACGTTGTCCAGCTGCTTTACCCACAAAGAATATTTCCTAAGCCATGGAGCAGAGGTTGAGCAGAGACGGCCCTCTGGCATTTTCCTAAGCAACACTGCTATATGCGCGTTCACATGGTGATGCAAAGCTGAAATGCTGGAGGGCTGTGGAAGGATGATGTGAAACAGCTGGGTTGCAAACACACACCCAGAAGGAAGGTGCATGCTGGCTTGGGTGCCTTTGAGGCTCGCACCATCTCCAGTGGTTCCATGCTTAAGTTCTAGTTCTTGGCGAACTGAAGAACTCTCAATGCCCGCAGTTTTCACAACTTGGAGGGAAAGCATGCTCAGGGGACTCCGTGTCAGTGGACTCCGTGCTGCAACTAATTTTTGGTTGAGATGGACCCCATCTGGGCTCGGGCAGGTGACGCTCTGCTCGCGTTGCTTCATGGCCATCGGTGAGACTGCCTATGGGGACACGGCAGATGGCAAGAGCACCTGTGTCCATCCGGAGTGCATGGCACAGGCTGGGCGTTTTTCGGAGAGAGATGCCCAGTGAACTTGCGCGAAAGGACAGGGGGACCCTAAACTCATTGATAGCCTTGACTGGATCCCTAGGGTGACGTTAACATGGTAGACTGAAACATGTGGTCACAAGTGAGAGAAGCAATGTGGACAAGCTTGAGTTTCTGGCCATGAGCCGCTAGCTGCCAAAGGCTTTTCCTATTCTGTTTGCCCCAAGCGATGCTCTAACTGCCGCTAGGCCTCTATTAAAGGGGTATAGCCTCTGATATCCCCCGCGGCTTGTCAGGCTGCCACGAAAGAGGACCTCCAATTGATTTCCTTCTGGAGGGCGGCATTATTCCAAGCAAACGGAGCCAGTCTTTTCAGAGTATGTCGCTGCGATCCATGCTGGACCATCGTACCCAGAATACTGAAGCTACCAGAAGTAAACATGTGGCAGTACCTTGTGCCCGGTTTCGGAAAGCTGACAAACAACGCACCTGATGCTTAACTGAGTGCGCCATACTGTTAAGGGCTTCAAAGTGAGGCGGCCTCTTCCGATGGGGAGTTGTATGGCAAAACTTGTTGGGAAGCTAACTACTTCTTGTTACATCGCGTGTGCCAGTTAGCCCTCAACCAAGGTCCTCCCCCTCCCCCATGGACTGGGCCTCAGGTCATGATCGAGGAGATGCAACAGCAGGAGGCTGCCTTCCTCAAGGAAGAGAACGAGAAGAAGCTGAAGAATCGCATCTCGGCAAGTTTGGGCTGGTATCTCCATGTAGCAATGCGCCTAACCGCGTTTTTGCCAGTTTTCCCAGTCAATATGGCAACTCTGGCTCTCTTGGAGTTGGACTCCGCTTCCCCCAAAGTTCGTCACTGGGCGGGATCCTCAGGTGAGGAGTACCAGATCGGCTGGGTGCCCTCCACGGTGCCTTGCAGCGCCAGTCTGGCGCAGCGCTTCGGGCTGGCGGCCAGCGGCCTCACCAGCCTGGTCTGGGATGAGGCGCGCTTGCGGACGGGACGGGAAGTCAGGTGACCGGCTGCTGGGGATTTCGCTGGAGCTAAAACATGCAGAGGGACGAAATGCTGGCAGATCGCGCTTCAATACGGCAAAGTGAAAGAAGCTGCTGCAAGAAGGCCTTGTAGGAGAGAACAATGCACACCAAAAAAGCCAATCATGAGTGTTTCCTTTGGCCAGACAGAAGTCTATTAGTCTATCCTAAACTGGGTTGTGGAATCAAGGGGTGTATTCCCACTTCTGTGATACAAGGGAATCTCCCCCTGTTTATGGGGTGTTAGTCTTTGGGAAGCCCTTTTTGTTGTATCACAGAAGTGGTCATTTCCCACAACCTTGATCCTAAAGCCTGCCTTGCAGCCGAGGCATCACCAGGCATTTGGAACAGCCCCGAACCCGGAACCAGCCCTGCCCGGCTAACACCCACGGCTGTACAGCTCAGCCACAACATGGGTGTTTGAGTAGCTCGTAGCACGACGGAACAGCGTTTCTGCCTTATGGCGAAAGGGGTATTTCCCATGGCCAGTGCCCACGGGGGTCCGAATGCCAGGTGAGCCGCAGCGTGCGGGTGGCCGCCACCCTGGAGCCCTCCGCGGCGGTGAACTTGGAGTACCTGGCCCTGGCGTTGAAGGCGAGACACCTGCGGAATCCGTGAGGGTCTCCTCATGGGGGGCTGGGGCGGGGGGAGGGGGAGGGGGGGGGTGGAGGTTGTTAAGCCCTTCATCATAATATTTCCATTTGTTGTTCCATTTGTTGCCGTTTGTCAAGGTTGTTTGGACATACTTGTGTTGAGGTCCTCCCTGAAATCGGCATTTGCATGGCATGTTGGGACGTGCTGGAGCAGGCTGTGGCCTGAATTGTGTGAGACAGACGCAGCCACCCTTGGCTGGGAAAGCCGCATGGCAACCTGTGATGCACACACACACACACCCACACCCACACCCACACCCACACGCACACGCACACGCACACGCACACGCACACGCACACGCACACGCACACGCACACGCACACGCACACGCACACGCACGCGCACGCGCACGCGCACGCGCACGCGCACGCGCACGCGCACGCGCACGCGCACGCGCACGCACGAACACGAACACGAACACGAACACGAACACGAACACGAACACGAACACGAACACGAACACGAACACGAACACGAACACGAACACGAACACGAACACGAACACGAACACGAACACGAACACGAACACGAACACGAACACGAACACGAACACGAACACGAACACGAACACGAACACGAACACGAACACGAACACGAACACGAACACGAACACGAACACGAACACGAACACGACGAACACGAACACGAACACGAACACGAACACGAACACGAACACGAACACGAACACGAACACGAACACGAACACGAACACGAACACGAACACGAACACGAACACGAACACGAACACGAACACGAACACGAACACGAACACGAACACGAACACGAACACGAACACGAACACGAACACGAACACGAACACGAACACGAACACGAACACGAACACGAACACGAACACGAACACGAACACGAACACGAACACGAACACGAACACGAACACGAACACGAACACGAACACGAACACGAACACGAACACGAACACGAACACGAACACGAACACGAACACGAACACGAACACGAACACGAACACGAACACGAACACGAACACGAACACGAACACGAACACGAACACGAACACGAACACGAACACGAACACGAACACGAACACGAACACGAACACGAACGAACACGAACACGAACACGAACACGAACACGAACACGAACACGAACACGAACACGAACACGAACACGAACACGAACACGAACACGAACACGAACACGAACACGAACACGAACACGAACACGAACACGAACACGAACACGAACACGAACACGAACACGAACACGAACACGAACACGAACACGAACACGAACACGAACACGAACACGAACACGAACAGGAACAGGAACAGGAACAGGAACAGGAACAGGAACAGGAACAGGAACAGGAACAGGAACAGGAACAGGAACAGGAACAGGAACAGGAACAGGAACAGGAACAGGAACAGGAACAGGAACAGGAACAGGAACAGGAACAGGAACAGGAACAGGAACAGGAACAGGAACAAGAACAGGAACAAGAACAAGAACAAGAACAAGAACAAGAACAAGAACAAGAACAAGGAACAGGAACAGGAACAGGAACAGGAACAGGAACAGGAACAGGAACAGGAACAGGAACAGGAACAGGAACAGGATCAGGAACAGGAACAGGAACAGGAACAGGAACAGGAACAGGAACAGGAACAGGAACAGGAACAGGAACAGGAACAGGAACAGGAACAGGAACAGGAACAGACACACACACACCCACACGAACAGGAACACGTACACGCACACGCACACGCACACGCACACGCGCACGCACACGCACACGCACACGCACACGCGCACGCACACGGACACGCACACGCACACGCACACGCACACGCCCACGCCCACGCCCACGCGCACGCGCACGCACACGCACACGCACACGCACACGCGCACGCACAC